CTTTGATCACACATATCACGAGACTCTCCAATATTTTCCATAATTACTTTTGTGATTCATGTCCGAAGAAAATAATGTACTATTTATTTGTGAATGTGTATTTTTGTTTCATTTTTTTTCATGCATTCCTTTGTTTTAAGCATACCTTCTTAAAATTAGAGAGAGAGACGAGTGCAATAGATGAAGAAGAGTGAACAGATATTGTAAATGACACTACATAGCTAAAGAAATAGAAGATAAGTTTTCAGTTGCATATAATATCTAGTGAGAAAAAGTTAGCCAATGTTTGTAAAGTACGTTAACTATTTTTCTTTGCATAAAATATTTATTTTAATAATTAGACGTCAGCAGAATTAATGCAATGGCCTTAACCGGAAAGGAAATAAAAACAATTTATATAAAAAAAATACATACTTCGCCGTATTCAAAGGCAGTGGTAGATTCCGATCGAGAATGTTGCAAACATTAATTAATTGAACGCGTACAGCGTTTTTTTAATGTTAAAAAAAATGTGCATGTTATAAATTGATGTTAAGGAAATACAACAATAGTGTAGTGTATTTGTGCATTTCACTTGTACTTTACGAGAGAATTAGTGTCCACAGAACTATATGTGCATCGCCATAGTATAAAGTCTCTGAATTAAACAAAATCTGCCAACATTGTTTAGAATTGATTTCTGACGAGAAGATTTGATTTTATGTTGAAATCTTTGCACATTGCTAAGATCATTTTAAAGACCAACCATGAAGATTCTTCAAGACGCTTGGATTAAATACAACTTTGTTATTTGTAATCATTTATCAACAAACGGATGAAGTTATCGCCACCATTGGTTAAAAGATATTTCAAAGGCAAAAAGGCATACTCGGTTCCCTACTGAAAACCAAAGATTGAATGGCATCAGGAAATCTGTTTGAAAAATTGTAATAATAGAGAACACTAGGAAATCTATGAATCATCATGCAATGCGTGAGCAGGGAATAAAATTTTGTATGATCTCACTTTTCTCCAAGAATTCTTCTATTTTCTAAATTAGAAAGAATGTATATAAAATTTCGACACATTTTACTTCTTTTGTAAACACTCAAAAGAAAGTTGAACCGATCTCTCGACAATTTCAAGTTATCACTATTATTCCACTACTTGGAATGATACTGATATTAAATAAAAGCGCTATGCATATCGAAATTTAATATTGTTTTTATATTGTTGTTAAGATACACGGTGGAATGTAATTCCATTCTAATTGCACAAGTCGAAACACACAACAGAATTACTTTAATGTTCATGACGAACAACTGAAACTTTATGCAAGTGGATTACACGACACGTTTCTTGGAGAACATTGACATGAAATCATTTTGTGGCTGCCTAAGTTAAAAATTATTTATTAACTTGCTCTTATACACTGGAGTACATTAACACTGTTGTAATATAACATTGCAAAGAAGAAAACAAAAGAATCACAATATTAGGAAGTCCAGTTTAAGACTTAACACCTCAATAAATTAAGTAATTGTATATGTAAAATGTATGACGGATGCATTAATAAAAATAATTATTTTTAAGATACAAGATACATATGTTTAACAAATAAATTTTCACTTACAACAGATTTTTTTTTACATATTTACATTTTATCACATAATACAAATATTATTCTATCATTTTAATTTCATTTATACTATTTGTGAAATGGTTGTCAATGTTGAGCCACTTTGCTGCCAAGATTCAATTGCTTTGTTAACAATTATTTCTGAAGTTTCTTCTGTTATCTGAAATGAGAACATTAGTCCCTAATTATTTGCTTACTCCATTTAACTGGTGAATATATTCTATATACATTATATACATTTGCACATAATTATTATCATACATTACTAATAGTGTCTAATACACCGTCTATATTTTCACATCGTAATAAGAGTCGTCTTAATGTTGTCAGCGTAACTACAGTAACAAAAATTAAAATTCTATGTGCACCCACAGCTATTTTATCCCAAATTCTATAAGGAAAAAAGATAAATCAATGAATTTTTTATAATCCACTGTTACAGTTCTTAGCTTAAATATCTTAAGTGAACATACTTTGCTATAGAACCATTAGATATTGTTCCTGCAAAACACGAACAGAACCAAACATCGTATGGAATGTTATGAAGTGCCTCAATTTTAATAAGATGTTTATATAGTTCTGGATCTTCCCTTTCTAACAAAGTACAAGTACATTCCTGCAACCTATTCACTTCTTTATGAAACTTTTGTACTTGGTCTAATAGACCACACAATATCCAATATGTGTCCACCAATTTTTTTTCATCCGAATCGATATCTATAATGTGCCATAATGTTTCAGCCATTCTACTCATAGCTCTGAAATGACTGTATTTATTAGTGAACATATTGAGATAATAAATTATACTTTTATAATTGAAAATTTGGAAATAAAGACCTATGAAGAGGTATTTCTAACTGAGCACTCATGTCGAGTTTAGCTCGTCTATTGCGTAATAACCACATGGTAAGGAACATCAAATGTGGTTTTGTGCAATCGTCTAAAATCTTGGTAACTTTAAGTGCTTTCTGCAAGTCCTGGAATTCCGCTTTTCTTTGATTCAATATAAATTCATGACTGTCTACGTACACTGGTATCACGTCCAACAATATTTTCCATAAGAAAGTTCTATGTATTGTTGGCACTGTAAATCGTAAGCAGAACTGTTTCAATTTTGCTTTATCGAAGGGACGTTCTTTCAATAATATTTCTAAGGATTTCTTTTCCTCAACGCTACGAAATCCCATCTGTATTTTTGGATAGAGAAAATGAATTGGTTAAGATTATATACAGATTAAAATAATAGATTGTTTAAAAGTGTTTACCTTCTCATAATAAGAGGAACGAAAATTTCTTTCGTCTGTCATTATTCTGTAAATTCAATTTTTAGATTTATGTGTATTTTTATTCAATATTTTGAAAATTTTAGATTCAAAATATTTCACAGCTGTAATCATAACCTGACGATACGCCCTCCAGCACCTCTTTCTTGAACTTTGTAGGTTTATTAGCCGGTAAAATCGATTGTTGCAACAGTGTGCAGATTTTATACGATAAGATTGTAATCACATTGAAATACATTTATAATAAATTATTCGATTTATTTTAAGTTGTACAAGAAATTACAATTAAAAAAGTGAATCTAGCATTGAATTATTGTTCTGTAATAACATGTTCAGGAATTACTTTTGCAACTTTTCGATATTCTTTGCGTAATGTCTTAGGGCATTGCATTTGTGTCCAACTTATAGGTATCATTGCCACACCTGTAACATAATTAAAGGTAGTTTTTAATGTAACAAATGATTTCTCTTTTAATAACATACCTTCTTCGCTATGCGCTATCACTACACCTAATTCATTTTCTGCTGTACTTAATTGATAAGTATGAGCTTCAGTCATTGGCATCTATCAAGTGCATAAGAAAATATATAAATTTTGCATTAATCTAACATTATCATAAAGAACAGAAAAGGATACAACTCTGGCTAGGATAATATCCCCGGGTCTGAAACATTTATACATTTGTATATTAGTTTTGTCTATTGCACGTACATCTTCTTTCCTCAATATCCCCCTGTAAGGTCTCGTCAATACGATATCGCCTATGCACTTTATGCTACATTTACAGAACCTCTGATTAACAATAGTAACCATTGCAGTTACTATGTCACCAGGTGCCGGAACAATGCTCTGTTCTGTTATTCCATGGACTTCTACCGTATGCGTCTAAAATGTATAACTATATAATAAATAAATTCCATTATACATTAACAATTATAGTTTCCATATCCCTTACATTCTCTTGTGGTAGCAACTTAACTACACCTGCAAGTTTTGAGTAAATATAACCTTGTTGCTCATAAGTCCCAGGTCCAGGTATATTAATTTTATCAGAAACGCATAATCTTTGACCTGTCATAAATAAAACAAAACATGCTCTCTTTCATCCACTTAATTGTTACCTCATTATAATATTATATACAATTACCAGGTACACAAACAATAAGCTCATCTTGTTCGTCCATGTTGTGTTCTAACCTTTTATTTACCATAAACACATAATACGCTACATTTAATATATTTGTCAACAAATGGCGCCACAGTCAACCGCGCGAATTTCCATATCGGTAACATTTGTCAAGTTTCAACGTTTTGCCACTAATGGCGCCACTGTCTATCCTTGTTAACTTTCACGTCGATAACCTTTGGCTACCAGTTTGAGCATTTTACCACGGATGGCGCCACTATCAACCTTGTCAACTCACTCGTCGGTAACCTTTGGCTACCGGTTTGAGACTTTTGCCACTGATGGCGCCACTGTCAATTTTGTCAGCTCTCTCGTCGGTAACAGTTGGCTACCAGTTTGAGCATTTTTCCACGGAGGGCGCCACTGTCTATCCTTGTCAACTCTCCTGTCGGTAACATTTGGCTACCAGTTTGAGCGTTTTGCCACGGATGGCGCCACGGTACAAAATGCATATTTTTAGTAAGCAGATAATTCGTGCCGCTATATGCATTGCAATATACGCAGAAAACGGCAAGAATTATCTGACGTATTCCAGAATATTTCCTGCTACAAATTGTATTGATTAGATAATAATAATTATATAATGTAGTTAGAGATATCGAGGAGTTCTCGAGGAATGAATGTTTACATTAAATACATTCCATGTATTGTAACAATGTGAATTTTATTAATGACTCGCTTTACGATACAATCCCTGATTGTAAGATGCGAAGGAATTAAATTTTGATGATCGTTCTACTCATCTAGAGACATCTAGAAATGTACGCGACGTATACTTGAAATAAATAAAAAACGATTATCTATACATGCTGCGGTTCTCCTTATGTCGATCGCATAGAATAAAAGTCTAAGGGTTACAGGTCATTATCATACTCTACTCGATGCTTAATCTACCGATAAGAAATGTGTTACTATACAATGTTTATTATTTTCCAAGTAGAATCTTCCTCGTGGCGCCGAAGTTTTGTCCAGCTTGAGTAGCGCCCTTATTAGTACCAGCCTGCAGACCAATGAGACCTTCGCCAGCCCTTAATTGCTCCTCGGTGAAGTTCCGTTTGTTCTCCTCGGCTGGCTTCGGCCCTAGCCATGGCCCGCGCCATTCAGGGTGTCTGTAGGTCTGTGGAAACATTTCAATAGTTCTTACAATCCAAGAACATTAATTTCAATGCCGCATAATTTGACAGTACAAAGTACTCAGAATGTAAAAAATGTAATATTAAATCATTCGACTGAATTGCATTGGAAAGGAGAATAATAAAAAATAATAAAAGTAGATACCGTGCGACCAATGGCGAAGATGGTGTTGGTAACTTGTGCTATATTTTTCCTCTCCATGAGGTCGACCGCTTGAAACAGGTCCACGTCGGGTACTCCGTATTTCACACAGGCTTTCTGGAACCTGAAACAATAAAATATAAATAACATCAATCCGACTAAAGAACATACTATCGATTCAACAAAGAATCCATTCCAAAGAGATCTCAAAAATTATAACTGGACTTCATACGTTTACAATTTGAACTCATTAATTTGAGACACAAGAGAGTCACAAGAGTTTAAAGAATCCATTCCACCATTGCAATTGCTGCAAATTGATTCATGAGCATAAATATCTGTAGTTCACTGGTGAAACGGATCCACCGACCAGCCATTTTGTCGGCGACGGTAATACACACAGCCTGATGCACAAGCGTGTAACAGCCAAACACGCTGATTCACCGATAGGCCCTTCAAATATCACTCTTAGTCACCCCTACGAAGATACCCCAACCTAGGCATACATCTTTGTCACTCAAACTTTGTACCTGTCATGGCCACCGACGCCACTGTATAAAAAGGAAGCTTTGGATAATAAAGATTCATTAGTTCTGGCAACAGCCTACGGGTTCGTACCTCCGTTCATTTCTAACACCTAACTATCCTCGTGTCTACGGACTACGTTAGTGTTTTCTCTCTCTCTCTCTTTCGCTCTCGCGTCGATTTCCCCGTAACAAGCCTAATGCACAAGCGTGAGGCAGGCCAGTGTTAACGAGCTCTCCGAGTACCAAGGAAGCAGGCATCGCAGGAGGATTCGAGCCAGCAGGTGGCTGCTTCACTCCGTTGCTGTTCTCCGCATGAAAAGGGAGTAACGCGGAGTGGCCGCGCTGCGCATCGTTCGCCCCACTATTCAGGAAAGCGCTCTTAAACATTGAAAACGCGCCAATTGGCGGCCTGCGCAGACGACACCGCGGTCAAATGCAGAAGGCGTCGTGTGTGCGGCAACATGTTGAGGGGAACAGCCGCGAGGACACTTCAGTCCCGCCTTCTAAATGCAATTTAGATGCAATTCTAAGCAACGGCTCTGTAACTACGACTACAGGCAACGAAACTTATGTTGCCAACATGTCCACTGTGGCCAAGAATCGCTTACAGTTATTTAATAAACTTAATTTCTAAGATTTCTCCTTATCTACTGAGTTATACAGTTAGTATCCGGTTCTTCAGGCTTACTCATTTAGGTTTCTGCGAAGCTCACTATATATCAGCAGTTAACTTGGAGTTGGTCATGCTGGAAAATCATGGAAATATTTTAGTATGAGGATTTGTTAATAAGTTAATTGATGAATCTACTCACTGGTGTTCTTTGAACCTAAGGTTCATTGAAGTACGTTAGTGTAATGATGTATGCATATGGTCAGGGGTTAACTTGACTTGCTGGAAAATCAATAAAATAATATTTCAATATGACAGAATTAATAGGGTAATTTTATTAATAGGTTGAATCTACTCACAGGTGTCTAACTTTCTTTGAACTTGAAATTAATTAAACCAACCACGTGTCACGGTGTATCCATATAATCAGGGGTTAACCTCTTGCTACACACTGAAAGCCATTAAAATAATATTCCAATATAAGAGAATCTGTTAAGAAATCAATCAATGGATTTTCCTTACAAGTGTCCACTGTTCTTTAAATAAAAATTCATTGAAAAACACAAGCCACAGAACAGTATTACTGTTTATTAATATTATTTATTATTATATATATTATATCATATATATATTATATCATATTACTGTACTATTATATATTTATTACTATTATTATTATTATTATTTATTATTATATATATATTACATTATATTACTGTACTATTATATAACAGTAGCCAGAGAAGTCCGTCGGACCCGTTCGAAAGTTCACTGCGACGGTCCCGACCTCAGACTTTATTGGTACTTATTCAGCAGGCTCTCAGGTGGCGCGAGGAGGCGTACCGTCTGCGGCAATCATGTGGTTCTTAAGTTTACAAGCATGGAGGGAATCGTTGACCTCGAGCCTGTCCCCTCGTGGTCAACAGTCGCAGACGGTCTGATCTCTCGATTCCGGCGAGAGTCGGTCGGTGACCAACGATCTCGATGTCGATAGGGCGCCAAGTCGAGAATCGTTCCGAAGCAAAACACTGTCGATTGCGGAAAGTCGACTGTGCAGCAGGCAACCATCGCGCGGGAAGAGGTTGCTCGTGCGAGCGTTTCAAAGCGGACGAAAACGGTTATGTCAGGCTTGTTCTATACATTTTTTCTTCTCTAATTGTAACGTTTCATTTGGCAGAAATGCTGGGATGACACTGACGCTTCTGGGAAAGGAGAGAGGATGGGAAAATGTGCGCTAATTATGTCAAGATGAAAGGCACTTTTGGCACGTGATGTTGCAGATTGATTAATTGGTAAATATCAAGCTACAGATTATGAATTTGAGGATTAGTGAAAAAATTAATCATAGTTGAATGCTTTAAATATTCGCTTACTGATTGAGATTGTCCATCATCTTGTAGTCGCCACCGGAGGTGTTGATCTTGCTGACAAGGCCAGGTTGGAGTTTGTTCATGAGCTTGCATAGAAGGACACCATCCCTCAAGGCGTCCTCATAGCTCACACCTGAAAGAAATTAGAATCTTTTTACAAGAGATTCAGGTATGGTTGATTGACGTTAACAGGAATCATTTGATATTAATGAATTAGTTAACCTATAACCCTTAGCACTCCAGGTTGCTTTATAGTCAGCAACTAATTTTTATAGTATTCCTAGCAAAAATTAGAAATGCAACATTTCTTTTATTTTCCTTCTCAATGCAAAATTTTGATGTGGAAAATCTAATAATTAGGTAGTTTCTTTGATTCATTAAAATATCTAATACTGCTGCAATATTGGAGCCTAGAGTTCAAAGGGTTAAACTCCATCTTACTAAACAAAGGAAAATAAACAGAGTAAAAGCCACTAGATTGCTAAAACTGTATCCCCCAATCGCCTAAAACGAGCAAATCTCAGAAACCAAAGGTAATCAAAATAATCTCTATCACCTTCCCCATCTCACAGCAACTGATACAAATCATTCCTTTCAGGTCCAAGCATATCCTTATCTCAATCCGACTCTCAAAAATAAAGCAACAGTGGTGGAACAATGAAAAGAATGCCAGGAACCACAGTGGCACCAGGATAGCAGAAAAAACAAACGCCTCTCTCGCTCCCTCCGTCTCTCCGTCAGCCGTAGGTAACGACCTGCGCAGTCGGCGTCGGTCATCGATTTTCATTGTCGGTCGCGCGATTATCGGCTCTCGAACGAACGACAGGCTCGTTTCTCTTCTTTCATAGTTTGCTTTTTTTCCAGCGCAGCTAACCCGCCGGCAGCCTCCCTTTAACTGGTTGGGATTACCCGCGAAATAATAACACAGAGAGAGAGAGAGAGAAAGAGAGAGAGACAGTGGCGTGGCACCAGCACTCGTTCATGGCGCCCCATTATTCCAAGAGGCGCGCCAAGGGGCATGGCATTTTTTGCTGTCCGGCCGAAGGACCAGGAAAGAGACCGCCTCCGTCTTCCCGTCGCCCGGCTCTTTTTGCTCGCGGCTGTCGGCTCTCCGATCACCGCCATCATTGTCTTTCCGTTGTCGCGGCTCGCGCTGCGAAGCGCTCCCGTCGCCATTCGAAAGACACGCTGCATCTCGACGCGCCAGGAGGCCAGCATCCGCGAGGAGCTCGCCCAGTCAAACTTGTCAGCGTGTATCGTCGTCATTGTCAATGCTAGCTGCATCTCTCTCTCTTTTTCTCTCTGTTACCGACCACTCTGACAACGTCACGTTCCAATGTATCGAACTTATCGACGCGGCACGCTACCTGGCGACCGGATTTATAAATTGTATCGAGGCGCGAGCCGCCGGAAGAAGCGCTGCGGTCGCGAGGAGCAACAGGCGTCCTGCAACCGGCTTTTCTAATTTTATCGCGCTGAGCGTGTCCTGTCTTTTAGATGACACTTTGAGAATGTGTGAGTATCGTGGATTCATAGGTTCTTTGAGGATTGTTGGAAGTGTAGAAATCTTTGGCGGATTCTAGATTGAACACTGAATGCTTGAGTCAGAGGATAAGAAACTAAATCATTTTAGTGTTCAATGATGGTTGTTCTAGGGTGCTACACTGGATGAAAAATACAATTGTCCTTCGTTGCAAGATAAGAATTTTCCTGAAAGTATTTCACTGTGCTAGTTGCAAAAGGTTCAGCACGTTCTACCAGCGTTTGTTTCACTAGCAATCCTCTCAATTATTTATTCAAATGAATAGATCTAAACAAACTATTGACACAAATGAAGCTAGAACAAGCTAGAATCCTTAAATGTAATATTCTAGATTATAACTTTGACTAAGCATATCCATAGAGGATTCATTCCATTTTCTTCATAGAAAATACAGGATCACAGCTGTCACAAATATGTGACACTAGTGAACGTGTTAATGTTCACAACTGGGTACTCCAAACATGGAAGTTTGACCTCAAAATGCGACATTCGTCCGCAAAGGGTTAATCTGTGGAATTAATACTGGAATATTATTTAATTGACACTAGAACTACCCAGCTAATTCTTTTTGAAATTCTGTAGGTCTGAAGAGTGCAGAGATTTCAGATGGCTTGCAATTCAGTTTCTCCAGTACTCAGAGAAGTTGACTAACTGAAAAATGGAAGCAGGAATGGTCAGGATTGAAGAATCATCTTGAAGTCAATGGAGGCAAACAATACATTTATCGCTAAATTATTTCATGCATGATATTTCATGAGTGTATCGCGTTGCATATTTTCAGCGACGAAAGCGACGGTCCCGGTGCTCGCCGAGCGAAAGCCGGCGTCTTCCTCCGAGCGTAGCTGCGAGCGCTACATTCTATGTAGTCGCGCGATAGGCAACGACGATAATATATGCAGTATCTATGAATATGAAAGTTGCGGAGTTATTAAGAAAACATAGCGAGCCTCGAGTAGTCCCGATTGCTCTGCGCGTACGCACGGATCATAAGATAACGCGTGATCTACGGATATGGATCATTGCGATCCGCAGCATCGATGACAGCGACTGGCAGATCTACGGTAACAAACGTCTCTTTCCATTGGATGATCAATTAGGAATGATTACCTCGTTAACCCCTAGCCTTATGAGTTCTTTCAACAGTAATCCATCTACTTTATCAATAATTTATTTAAAACGAGAACCTTCAGTTATTCTATGTCAACTACTCTAAGCGTTGACAAATTAATTAACCCTTTGCACTCGAGACTATTTTTCTCAAGAAATATTCGGTGGTTCTGCTGAAGATCAGAAACACTGAACCAATTACCCTAGATGATTAACTTAAGCTAGTGTCGCTATGTTACTAAATTGCTTTCAAGTTAAGAGATATATTACTAGATTCAAAGGAGAGACACGTAATTCGCCTGCAAACTGAATATTTGTTTGTTAAATTCTGATATGATAGAGCAAGAGGTTAACGCAATATTAAGTGTAACAAGCTGACCAGGCTGCGTTTAATAGTTCAGGGACATTTTTGGACGGAGCGGATCTGCGAGCTACTGTTCAAAATACTACTACCCTGGTCTTGCAAGGACGACGTGTCACGTGGTTTTGCGATGGAGGGAGCCGCGGTACGCCTACCCGAAAATCTGTTTGCCTAGTACAAAACTGGTCGTGTGCTTGAATTCTCGATTGACGAGCCATCGACAGCCGATCAGTTCCAGATACGCTGGCCCAGTTCTGTTCAATTAGCAGTAAATCGACTCTGGTAAGCTTCTATAGCCGGTCGCGAACAACGGTCAATTCTGAATGAAACGCGCGCAGGAACCGGTGCTGTACAAATCATTAACACGTTCGCTAGTGTCGTGTATTTGTCACAGCTGTGATCCTGTATTTTCTATAAAGAAACTGGAATGAATGCTCTATATATATACTTAGTTAAAGTTATAATCTAGGATATTACATTTAGGGATTCAGTAGCTTGTTCTAGCTTCATTCGTTTCAATAGTTTGCCTAGTTTAATGTGTTAAATGTTTTGCAACTAGTACAGTGAAATACTTTCAGGAGAATCCTTGGCTTGCAAGGAACAAAGATATTAACACGTGGACAATTGTATTCTTGAGTCCAGTGTAGTCTTATGAACAACCATCATTGATGAACACGGAAACCATGAAAATAGTATTTCACTATAGAACTTATTAACTCTTTGAACTAGGAAGTTTTTCAGTAGAAATATTTGAACATTTTCTGATGAGATAAATAGGACATTGTTTGAAACTAATCTAACAATGTTCCACAGAGAAACCAAGCAACAAAGCTATTTTATTGAAGTATTTCATATTGCGATACAAAATTTAATTTAAAATACTAAATATTCAACTTCATAGTTTTGCTGTATCAAATCAATTATTAATAGTAATTAACTAATGAAATGAATTTATCAGTAACTCATTCATTATCAGTTACCTATTATCAACAATAATTATTCTCAGTCACCTCCTCTAAAAATCTCATATTTCAGATCCACATCACTCTCCCTGAACCGCGCAAATCAAACGAGCCGAGCAGACCTTCCGCTTTTCCACGCTATCCAGGGAGCAGCCGGGAGCTACGAGCGTCGTCAGCGTGCAGCCTCCAGCTGAAACGCGGGACACCTCTGTAAACACAGCTGTATGACGTGCTGATACGTTCCTGGTATCCTCGAATCGCGATGAGATGTCGTAAACGCGAGAGGATGACAGAAAATCAATAGGACCGCCTTACAGGACGCTGTCGCGAAGAACGCGTGTCCTGTCGAGAGTTTCTTCGGCGGGTTTCTTTCGTTCGTCCTCGCCGGCGCGCGGGAGCGTCCTGTGATGCTGGCCTGATATTTCCCAGACGTCACGTGTCTTATCGCCGTCTTCGTCCGCCCCGTCGATACACGGTATCCGCGCGCCGCGCGACGAAAAAATATCGAGCCGCGACAATACGTATCGACGGATCGGCGATATTTCTGCCGGTGATACGACCCTGTTACGGTGACACGTCACGGTCGTCATGTCTCGGCGATTTGACGTGAAATCGATGAACGAGAGGGTCCTTTGTAAAGGACGTAGATTAACCCTTTGAACTCGACAGTTTTTCACTTGAAGTATTTATATATGTACTTTCTGATTGGATTAATATATACTTTCTAATTAGATGTAGACAACATTGAATTTAACAAGAAGTACCTATATAAATTAGGTACCAAAGCTATTTTATTTGAATATTTCACCTATCGATGCAGTATACAAAGGTTAATGGTAAATACCAATGTTTATAGTTTTGCTGCATCAAATCATCTGGCAAAGGGTTAACCCTTTGAACTCTGTAGGCTCGAATATTGCACCAGGAATGATATTAGATATTTCAATGGATCTTAAAGAAACTGCCCTGCAATTATTGGATTCTTCACACATCCAAATTTTGTGCTAAGAAAAATGAGGATATTTGATATTAAAGGTAATTGGAATTTGTCAGTTGGAAGTTGAGGGAATCTGTCATTAATTAGTACTTTACAGAAAGAAATATTCTAAAGTACTAATGATTCAATTGGTATTGTCAGTGGTATCAATGGAATTATCGTGTCTGGAGTAATTAGTAATTATTGGTTGCCTACAGGGAGCAAAAGTAGAACGAGTAATGTTTTAATGAGATGCGTTGATCCTTTCAGATACTGTATGACAAGGAAGGATTCTGTCTTCCAGGAGTGCGCCTGCCCAGGCTGGTATCGATTTAACGTCAGTTTCATGTCATAAAGACGTCAAATGCACGGTTTTCACCAGGACAACATCCCCGGGATGAATTTACGAGCGTCAGCAACAGGTCTCGCGGGAGCGGGACCATGTGCGCACAGCATCCATTTCTACAATGGTTTGCGCCGCTGCTTTCCCTGGAGACTTCTGTATAGATTCATTTTTCCAGAAGTTATACAACAAGATATTCAGGAACCGTTTCCTCCTTCCTCAGGGAAGAAATTTTCTCTTCTTGAAATTAAGGTATTCACTTTAATTTTTTTAACAGTAGCTTTCTTTACAACAAATCCATTCTCTTCCAGGTGGTGCAACATGGTGTATGTTGTTATATTTTAAACACAGGAGCAGAACTTCAGGAATCTCTTGAAGTTAAGGTTGCCTCCTTCTTCAAGGATCTCTTGAAATTAAGGTATCCTCCTTCTTCAGAGATCTCTTTAAATTAAGGTATCCCCCTTCAAAGATCTCTTTAAATTAAGGTATCCTCCATCTTCAAGGATCTTCAAATTAAGGTATCCTCCTTCTTCAAAGATCTTCAAATCAAGGTATCCTCCTTCTTCAAGAATCTCTAAATCAAGGTATCCACCCCAATTCGCAACTCACCCCACTCGTCACAAATCTATGACACATTTCACCCTTCAAACAGCAGCCGTCTCAACAAATTCCTCCTATTCCAAACAGCCCATTCTCCTCAAGCAATCTCCCAAGATCTACCAAAGACAAAACCGTAATTTCCTCTCCATCACAGGAGCAGAACACGCCCCCGAGCACACCCCCGAGCGGGACACAGCCGCGGGCAGCCACCTGTTGCGCCGCTCGTAAATCTACCTCGGGGCTGTAATCCTGGTAGGCTTGTCTCAGAATGACGTCATTGACGACCCTTTGACAGACAACTGACATCCGTTGACGCAGCGCGGCGGCTTCTCCTCGGAGTCGTCATTGGACCCCGACTTTTTCCGGCGCAGGAAAAATTCTTAGGTCCTCGCCGGTGGGTGTGCGCGTGCCCCCTCGTCGGTGAGCGAGCCATAAATTCATCTACTGCCCGCCGTTGCTACCCTAGTAACTACGAGCTTTCGTGACGTCACGCAACGTCTGGTGACGAGCCGTTCGACAGCTCGACAGCCGCCCCGCGAGCAGCACCGGCGCCGGGGGAGGAAGCTCGACGGAGCGCGTCGACGGGTCGACGTTGGACGGCGACGCGGCGGGAAAGCTATAAATCCCTCAAACGTCTGCTGATGCCCTGGTGCTGGCAAGCTACTTGTGCCACCGTGACGAACGGATGACTGACACTTCTCTTCCTAGGAACGCTTCGCCTGAGTTTTAAGGGGCTTTCTTAACGAGGAACGGTTGGTACGCTTCCGGTTGGGTAAGGGATGTTGATCAATGAACGAATGAATCAGAGGAATTGATGGAAGATTCGGGTTGTTAATGGATGAATGTTATTTTAGGTTGGTTGCTACTGTGCTGTAACTTTGTATCACGGTAGGGAAAAATCGATAGACCTTTGTGTAGGTACCGGCTGGTCTCGCGAGCCTGCTGTGCGCAACATTGTCTGGATTGGCGGGATATGATGCGAGTGAAAGGTTGGTTTCTTAGGTTTCATAGTGGTAAGTGGTAGAGTTGGGAGATGATCATGCTGGAATGAGATTGGAACTCATTATGTTCACTCATTATACTGCTAATAAGTGAACTTTACTTGTAATATTAGTAAGTGAACTGTTGGTTTCTGAGGCCTCATTGCAATAAGTATGATATAATTGGAACAGTATAATTATGTAGCTGTAATGAGATTGGAACTCAATTATCACATTCACTCATTATATTGCTAATAAGTGAACTTTATTGTATTATTAATAAATGAACTGTTGATTTCTTAGGCTTCATTGCAATAAGTATATGATACTGTTGGAAGAGGATAATTATGTAGCTGTAATGAGATTGGAACTCATTACATTCACTGATTATACAGCTAATAAGTGAACTATTTCTCAGGCCTCATTGCAGTAAGTATTCGATCCACTTAAAAGAGTATAATTCTCTATCCGGAATGAGATTGCAACCGAAATCAATCGTTTCAGAATGCAGCTGCCGTTCAAGATGGCGTCCCCAGGGATGAAGAGCCACTATCGGATCGATCCTCTGTGGCAGCCGCTTAACAATCGATTTTCCCTAGAGAAAGTTAAGGGCGAGCGAGGAAGAGGGACGACGAAATGACACAATGCGATGTTTGTGACTTGACTATCCGGGAGCCTCGTATGCGGCCCTGATACGTTGGCGTCCTTACGACGTAACATGATGAACAGATGACGCTAAATCAATACACGTCGTCGGCCGGCGACCAACCGCTACACGTCGTTTAACGAGACCCTGAACTCTGAAGCTTCTCCCACGTGATCGCCGACGAACAGTCTCAATCCTACAGTCACAACCGTTAACAATTCACATTTCACTTTTCAATACCTAAAAATCTAATCTCAATCTCATTAAGTCTGACACTTGTTAAACACCATTGCGGTCACACTAAGTTAACTATCATGCTATTTGCATTGTCCAAGCGAGTACGTATATTTGAATATTAATCGCAGTGGCTGTTAAAATTCACATTTCACTTTTTAATACCTAAAAATCTAATCTTAATCTCATTAAGTCTAACACTTGTTAAACACCATTGCGGTCACACTAAGTTAACTATCATGTTATTTGCATTGTCCAAGGGAGTACGTATATTTGAATATTAATTGCAGTGGCTGTTAAGATTGAAGAGGATCGGTGTCCACCTCCAGAAAAAATGTCGGATGCGCTGTTACAAGAGGATCGTGTCAGCATGCCTCGCGAGCTTCCAGGAACAGGCTAACATCCACAACCGAAAGACTCGGGAATCCTGGAATACGTCGAATTCCAATCACGTTATGAGAGGCAGCGACGATCGCGGGGGTGGACGGAGGCGATCGGACGCCGCCAGTCCAAGTTCAATTTTAAACGAGTCAATAACATCAAAAGCTTCGGATACCCGGCTCGCATCATCGCGCGGAGCTACTCTAAGGCTAGACGGAGCCGACGCCACGCCACTAGAGCCCCATCTATCGCGGATCGAATTATCTAATGGAAGAACCTTGACTCTGCCTCGGAACACAATGTGAACAAAATGCGATTAGGATCATTCTAACCTACCGGAACTTCTTTGATTTCTTAAGATAGTTTACCAGCAATCTCAGTTGAATCGAGGAATTGGTAAATGATTTTAATTGAATTAGAGATTCTAATCTCTTCAAGGTAATTGGTACAAATGTTTCCAAGTATTTAAAATTCATCTATTTCTACTGAGGGCCAAATGTCACTTGAGATTTTATCTTATTTTTCAAGTTTAGCTGCTTGTGAACTGACAGTTCAACTTCTCCAATAACAATGATGAAACTACAGGAACTGTCCAGAATTCAATGCAGGAAAGTTATTAACTTAGCACTCCACATTTTGTGATATCTCAGCAACTCCACCAATTTTGATAGTAGTCAAAGATTAGACCTTTAATTTCCTTCTCAGTAGGAACTTTGTATCTGCAAGATCTAATAATCCTAAGATAATTTTCTTAAAATTCATTGAAATATTCAATATTACAACTGGTGTAATATTGAAGCCTACAGAGTTCAAAAGCTAAAACCGAGAAACCACTTGAAAATCTGAAGTGACCCCGAGAAACACTTAATGAACATTCCAACCTATTAGGTGGAACGGTGAGCCAGTGACAGGTGCGCTCTGAATCGGTTAATACCAGGCTCGCACTTCGCCAAGGAAGTTTCCGCGGTGGCCGAGGAGAACCGCCCCCCGCTGAGGGTTGGCATCGTGCGCGGAGATTAATTAAAAGGGCGACAGAGGAAGACGCATCCTTTGGCCACCTTCGTTGCACCCTCCACTCGACCAGGGTGTCAGCAGAGCGCGGAGCTGCGCGCTGATCTTCGGGTTTTCTCCTCGAGAACGAACCTCTTGGTAGAATTCTTCCCGTGTCCGGCGACGCGATCATCGGCCAATGAACGTCTCCGGTGCCCGCTTCGTCGCGGATTGTCCAGAACCCGACCGCGAAAGGCGGACTCGTCGGGCGAGGTAAGAATAACCGAATCCGCCTGTGCAACGGGACCGCGGAAACGACGCGCTCAACACGACGATTGCGTCGACGCCTGGCGTATTTCTCGGACCAGGGGTGCACGTTCGGCGTAGGGGTTGCTGGCCGCTCCCCCGTTCGACAGGGTGACTCGAATGACGTAACAAAGCGCGCCTTTCAGCAGGAGAACATCCCTCGGCAGAGGGTTCGACTACCCTTAGCGAGCCGGGTCGTCTACCCTGCGCGCCGCGGTCTTCAACCCCTGCCACCTCCTCGAGTTCTTTGGAACAGGTTGCTGCTTAAAACGTTGAATGCCATGGGGGTCACCGGTGACCCCCGAGCAAATCGAGTTACTATAGTTCACTCAATGAAACGACGATTATATGAAAACGTTTCTATATTATAAAGAACGCTGCATAATCTACTGCCTTTCAACTGAATATACGTGTAACAATAACAATGCAATTCAATCAAATGATTTAGATATATAACGTGTTAACACAGTATTACAATATTTCAATATGTATAAGACTAGAACTTTGATGTAACAAATCTAGTGGTGACTGGGAGTCGCCTCTCGACTGCAAAGGGTTAATATTATTACGGTTGTTATCGATATGGTTCAAATACTCAGGAAATATCCTTTGTTTCATTTTTAGCGGAACAGAGACTTTTGGAGAGCAAGTATTGATGATTAAATTGAGAATATCAAATGGCACATAAGGTATGCAAATATATAACGCCTTAAGTATCGTCCGCCATTTTGTACACACGGAAAACTAATCTTATTTAATTTTTAGCGCAACAGAGACGTTTGGACAACGAGGAATCATGATTAAATTGAGAATATTGAATGACACAAGGTATATAGATGCATGCGTACTTATCGAACGGCTTGGTAATCGTCCGCCATTTTGTACGCGCGGACAGCGCTCAGAAAACTGACCCAGCCAACAAGCTTAACCTTTGCGACGTCACGCGGCCTGACATTCGTACCCGGGAATTATAGGGTTCCGGAGGACGCATCGCGTGTCGTACCGTTCCCGCACGGGGGTGGTGATATTGATACGCTTTTCGAACCGCACCACCTCCGCAGAACAGGAGCTCATGCATCCGAGCGCGTATATCAAGGGAGTAGTGTCATCGGTAAAGTACAATCAAGCGCGTCGCCTCGTGTATCCTTGCGATTCGACGCGGCGAGGTTCAGTATCAGTGTTGCTCGCTCGTTTCACCGGTGGAACGTGCATGGTAACCATTCGCGAATACAACAGGGAACGCCTTTTTATGGCAAAAGGTTACTGTTGAGTATGCTATCAGATTTCTCTTTTATAGCATCCAATATTCAGACAAAGTTAATTTGAAGATGAACACTATGAGAAATGTTGATTTCAGTATAATTTTTAGGTGTAAAAGAGTTACTGTTGATGAGTAAGCTATTAGGTTTGTCTTCTACAGTGTCTAATCTTCAGACAAAATTAACTAGAAGATGAACAATATGAGAAATATTAATTTCAGTATATTTTTTAGGTGTCAAAGAGTTACTGTTGACAAGTAAGCTATCAGACTTCTCTTCTACAGTGTCTAATCTTCAGACAAAGTTAACTAGAAGATGAACAATATGAGAAATATTGATATCAGTATATTTTTTAGATATCAAAGGGTTACTGTTGACAAGTAAGCTATCAAATTTGTCTTCCACAGTATCTAATCTTCAGACTAAATTAACTAGAAGATGAACACTATGAGAAACATTTACTTCAACATATTTTTTAGGGGACTTACCTGGTGGAAACCTCTCCCCAACAACCGTCTCTATCCAGTGCTGTGCTTCAGCCTCCTGGCTAGCCTCCCTCTTACCAGCAACCTGCAAGATTAAAGGGACTATTTTAATAGAATCCCTGAAGTGATTAACGACCGTTGGTATCTCTCAAGATGGATAGGGTCTATTTAGATATGCCGGTCGAAAATAAATCCTGTTCTCAAGCTTGGGTGGTTCCCCTCGCACACGTGGCCGTTATCGTTTATTTTGGGAACTGGAGGAACCGGTTCAATTAACTAACTGGATTAACAACTTTAATCATTAACTGAGCAAGCACTCGCAAGGTATACTTCAAACGTTTTCTACTTCATTTTAATCAAACTCAAAATCGCAAGCAATTTTATATATAAATTGGTAAAAATAGTATCTAAATTATATTATCAATTTAACAGTAGATAGAATAAATTCCAATGCTTTAAAAAGTTTTAAAAAGTTAGAGGAATTAAGATCATTTGTTTGATATAAGATTATCAGTTTCCGTAGAAACTTTCAAAAATTGCCGTAGCCGATGGTATTTCACATCGTCATGGCGGGGTATTGGTAAAAGTTTTCAACTAGCAATAATCGCACCTCGGTAGAACCTCATTGGTTACGATATCGCCACTGCGCAAAGCTGAAGAGTACATCTCTCCCCGTCCTACTAATAACGTTGCCGTCATCTTTCAGTTGCGAGAAATCTCTCATCCTACCCGCCATCTAGCAGCTGGCTCGCCAACTAGAGGACTAGATCCTATCGCCGATTCAACCCATTCTACCAGCATATCGCTCAGCAACAAACATCATAGTTGCAATATTTTATTAAACAAGATACATCATCTTTACAAACAAATAATACTCAATATTGCACAATGCACCATGTGTCATAATATCACATGAAACAGATGTAAATGCAATTTACTCCAAACATGAAATATAAATAACGCTGCCAGCGTTAATTGCAACAGCGTTACAATTGTTAACATGAAACTAAGCAACAGTAAGTAAACAATCTTAGTTACGCAAGTATTATTTATAACAGAGAAGCAAACTTTCACAAGGATTATTTATAACAGCAATTGTACGGAACTTTCTGAGGATTTCCTGAGGACGCACGCGTCAACCGTGGACGGTGTATTTGCAATTGAACGCAAGTAAAGATCGGTTAAGTATTTGCTGGAAATGCACTGCAATAGGAGAACAGGCAGCCAGGAGGTGGCCGTTTAAGTATGTGCACGCAACGACGCCTCGCAGCCCAGTACTCCATTTTACTCCGTTCTTTCCTTTGCGATCGCAAAGGCCACCTGTTGCTTTCGTGCCAGAACCAACGGTTTCAACGATATAACACGAGTCTTGAATTATTACAGATCCCTCTAACCGGTTCAGGTGGAGAACCTCCTTTGGATAATGTTTGTTCTACCCTTTGCACTTGGAGGAATTCCTGATACTGTCAATGTCTCAGCAACTCCAAGTAATCTTTACTAAAAGTTAGTAGCTACTCTGGGAGTATTTATACGTGATCTAGTAAATCCATCTTCCTCGTAGCTATCATTTCTTTGCATTTTAGGAGGAATATGCTTTTCTTTGATTCATTAAAATATTTAATATAACTGGTGCAATATTGGAGCACAGAGTTCAAAGGGTTAACTTCTGTATAATGCATCGATACGTGAAATACTTATGTAAAAGCTTTGTTTCTTAAGTCACGTATTTCTAAATACGAAAATGTCGAATGTTTCTAATCTAAAGCTTCCGAGTAAAGGGTTGACCATATATTATAAACCACCTATAGTAACTTTGACAATATATATATTTGCCTTGACAAGTTCTGTCACCAGAAAATTCTGTCGATCGTCAAAGGTTCATAGGATTAATCGGAATCCCCGTTCAGTTGCTGTTGATCCCGATTGGAAACCGAATCCAGAAAAACCACGAAGAGCCATGGCATCGATGACGCCATCGATCGAATTCCGGTTACATAACTCGAGCAGCAGGCGAGCGGAATCGCCTCCAGAGGATTTCGTCGGGTTACGATAAACTTGGAAACAGCGTCGATTGACGGGATCTAAACTCGGCGGTGGCCTCACCCTTCGAAGTGGCTAAAATCCAGAAACTACGACGCCCTCGCTTATCGGCGTTTTCATCTGGCCGCGGTCCACGGAACCGATTAACCGCCCCGTTCATCCTCTGCGAACACACACCTACCACTTGTTCCAAGTTTTCCGCTTCGGGAAATCGAGCGGGCCGCGCGTCACCGAGTATAATAACGACGGATTGTCATCGACAGTGATACAACGGCCCCTAAATAGTCTGTCCAGCCTGTTGGCTGCTCCTTAGATGGCTGGTTCGATGATTTCCACTCGTTACCGAGTTCCAAGGTGAATGATCATTCCGGAACAGCTGGCCAGACGCTTCCGGAAACTCCAGGAAGGGGCTTTGAATCTTGAGTGTAGGAAATATTAGATATGGTTGGAAGATGATGATTATGTTGCTGGATTGAGATTGGAACTCACTTGTTATATTCACTGATTACATTGCTAACAAGTGAATTTTACTTATTGTATTATTAATGAGTGAACTGTTGGTTTTTTAGGCCTCACTGCAGCAAGTACACGATACACCAAAAAAGTATGATTATGCAGCTGGAATAAGATAGGAACTCCAGCAAGGAAGAGTCAAGGGGAAGAAGGGGAAGCCGGGAGACGCGAAAATAAGCAACTCCAGCTCGCGCGACCCAAATTGCTATGCCGTTACGATGAAAGGGTCTTCGAACCTCGACAGGCTTTGCGTTCAACCTACAATTCTCAACTACTCGACTCATTCCTCAACCTCTTACACTGGAAATGAATTCAGAGACCTGGCAAAGTCTGCAAAGAATTTCCTCTCTATTTTACATGGACATAGATAAATACAATAGACGTTTCTCTGAGAAATTATCAAAGGAATCAATTCAACAACACAAACTGAAGTAAGTAAATTCTCAACAGACATCTTAAAGTTTCTACAAAGAAGTTTCAAAAATCCTATCCAACTCAGTTTAACTGTTAACCCCTTGGCGTACCATTTTACTATCAACAATTAGAAAGATAATGCAACAAAACTGTCCACTCTACTTCAAGTGGAAATTTTATTTGAAGATAATACAACGATAGGAAAATAATTGCTTTGATCCGTGGGTAATAACATCAATTGCTAAATTAGTCTAGAAATCTTCATCACGAGTCTCACACATGATTGTACGGCAAATAACATTATAAATCATGTTCCCAGGCATCGAATCCCATTCACCGATCGTCATGAATGAGTCCGACGAGCGCAGTTCATTCAGGAATCCACGTCCAACCGGCTCGAAGCCTGTATCCGGAGAAGAAGAGGATCGCGAGGACTGAGCGCGGCCGGCCAAATCGGTTGTTACAGATGTAACGGGCGCGTTGTTGTCGTGTAAATAGGGGCGCAGTGTCAAGATCTGGCAGCGGAGGGCGCGCGGGGGTGTGGGAATACCCATCGGGCAGCCGGCCAAAAATTATTCGTTCCTGAATGTCGGCGGAAAGGACGCGGCGGAGGGGAGGCCGGCATATAGCGTCGCGACGCACGGCGTCCGACTTAGTCTCTGGTCGGCGTCATCGTTCAAAAGTCGCTGTCCCCTTCGCCGGAGTTATTAGCCTGTGTCGCGCGGTGGTCGAGTCGATCGGATCGTCGGAAGACAGTCGAACAGGATGCCGGTACGTGTCGAGGAGGAATCGCTGTTTGAGAGATCGCGTCGATCGGACGCGCGAGATATTGCGTATTTTCAAAATATCGATCGAATTGAGATTTTTAACTTAGGAGAGAGATCGCGTCGATCGAACGCGCGAAATATTGCATATTTTCAAAATATCGATCGAATTGAAATTTCTAATTTACCAGAGATCGCGTCGATCGATCGCGCGAAATATTGCATATGATACGATCAGCGAACGATAAGTTATTGCACGCCGGATGAAATTCAGCTAGTAGACACGTAGATTATTGATACATTTTCGAAACATCAATCAAATTGAAACTTCTAACTGGAGAAATAAGGAATTCGAGTTTTTAATTAAGTACATGTTATTAACACTAGAACTACCGAGCATTTAATACGATTAATATGCAATTCCTATAAAAATTGTAACAATAGACTATTTTCAGTTCCTTCAGACACTCATTATAGTACTCAAATGAAACTATTTGTTTTCAAAATCATTTCGAATATTCAACGCTTCGAAGATATCAATAATAAACAAAAAAATCGAAACCAGTCATTTTGACTGTTACGGTAGTTCTAGTGTTAAAGAATTCACTGAAAGAATTAGTATCGTGTCAAGCTTTACAATGACGTATACTCATCAGTTAACTGGTTAATACTTTGGATTTGTTTTATGTATCTAAAATGTTGCATTAATGATTCCACAGTATCGGCGCGCAATGTGTCAACTTTTTGGCTGCAACTCGCGAAGATAGCTCTAACAATAAGTGTATCACTGCGATTCGAGACTGATAGGTGCACTGTGCAAGTTAGCCCAGACAATAGTCGTCGTTGACGAGAAGTGGGTACCGTTGGAAACGCGGCGTGTCGATGACATTCGTAGAAGCTGCAGCGGGTAGCCGAAAGGTTAACGAATGTTCGATCGCGATGCGCCGCGGAACCCGCGGTTATTCGTAGCATCCTAATTACGGTAGACCTTGGTCTATTTCGTTCTGGCGGTTTTCCCAAGTCTCTGGATTAATCTTGACACGAGGGAAACAGGTAGAAAGCACGGGAACCGGCGCCGTTACGTCAACTTGCGTTCTCAACCCTTAACCCATTCGAGACGCTGATTTTTCTCGAACACGGTGCAATCGGTCTCGAAATTCTGTCACGGGGTTTTCCAATTAAGTTTCTTCAAATCTCTAGACGATAGTCATAGAAACTCAATTCTCTTATTGTTGGTATGTTTATTTTGTTTCTATACTTTATTAATTCAAAGAAAGTTTTATCTCGACTACTTTACTCAGAATAACATAAATGCTCATCATTATTATATATATTACTATAGCCTCGGAAATCAGTTGCACACGGTGCAATCTCTCGAATGGATTAAGTAGCAACTGCCGAATGTATCGAAGCGATTCGAAATTCGGGGAACTGAATTTTCACTAGAGATTGTAGATAGATTGCGTGTGTTCGTCGGTGAACCGGTGAAACAACGTTTTATGCGATGTTATAGGATAGCGAGAAGTTTATTCGTGACAAAGGAGAAAATCTCGATGACATTTTAAGAAAATTTCAAAGAAATTTCAAGCGGTGGTTCGCTTCGGACGCCGCGTTTCCGCCGATTTCCCGCGGTCCGCTTTTAGTTTCGCGGCCGCGTCTACGTGATCGGGACGGGAATCCCGGCGATTTGTAACTGCGATCGAGTTTGACGCGTATTTATACTCCAAGATAAATACTGTTGCGTAATGTCCGTCCGTGCTCTCGCCGATGCGCTCGCGCGAGAACGACTGCGCGTTTTTCCAGCGTTTTCGATCGTTTCGGGTGGAAGTGTAACTGTGCTTGAGGCCGACGCGGTTGCACGTTAAAACAGGGACACTGGGAAATAATATAACATGTATATCGCGGTGATTAGCATGATGAGGAGCAGGACGGAGATGTAATAGAGGAGGAACGCGATGTAAGAGAAAACCGAGGACGGCTGGAACATGCTCCGGAGATTCTGGGTTTCGCTCGATTTTGTTTTCTCCGTGGAATCGCGATCATTTGGGAATTATTGACGCCTCGTTAACGCGCTTCAATTTCATTGTGCTCTACGCGTTGGAATTTGTTAATTATCCATTAATAACGCGTTCGAAAGTCAACTAACCATGAACGACGCGTTGAAATCTGTTGGGTACCCATCGACAACGTGTTCGAAATTGTCAATTAAAATTCATTACTTATTCGTTACTTAATAACGCGTTGAAATCTGTCAATTGTCCATCAACAACGCATCCAAAATTGCTAATTAACCATACAGAACGCGCTGCAATTTGCTAATCACGCGTTAACGACGCGTTTCATTTTTCAATTTGTCGATTGTGCTCTACGCATTGATATTTGTCAATTACCCATCAACAACGCGTTCGAGATTGTCAATTAAAATTCATTACTTATTCGTTACTTAATAACGCGTTGAAATCTGTCAATTGTCCATCAACTACGCGTCCGAGATTGCTAATTAACCGCGAAGAACGCGCTGCAATTTGCTAATCACGCGTTAACGACGCGCTCGAATTTCCACGGTCGGTTCGGCGAGTGTCCTCGACGGATAGGGGTACCGAGTCCCGAAAACGCCGCTCCTCTTGATTACCGAGCTTAAAATATATCTCGAGAGCGAGGGTTCGCCGAGGAACACGTTGCTTCCAAAGGTTCGACACTTCGCAGGCGGGCTCTGGAGATCTTTCCGACTCTATCCAGGTATCCGCGGACTAGAACACCGAAGCGAACGTCTAAGAATCGTTTCCTCGAACGAGTTACATAGCTTCGAACCGGCAAGAGGCGGCCCACTGTTCCCAAAAGAACCATTACATCATAAATATCATTGGCACCTAACTGAAACGAAATCTACTCGCGAAAGCGTACGCGTTAGAGGAGGACAGACAGACGAGTCGCTTGGAAGCCAACGCGGTTAATTCCAATTTTCAACAGTTTCCAACAATTTTCAACAATTTCTAACATTCTCTATTATTCAAGAATTTACTCTTCTCTTTGTTTTTCTAAATTAGAAACCCTTTTTTTAATAACTTTCGAATATCTCGTAGAACAATCATCCAAAACATTACTTTCCTCAATTTTTCTTCTCTCGGTTTAATTTCATTAGCTTCTCATTAGCTTCTCGCAGCGAAAACAATGTTCAATCTTGAAATTTTAATGGAATCAGTAACATTCTCAATTACTCAACAATTTACTCGTCTCGTTTTCCTAAGTTAGAAACTCTTTCTTTTAATAACTTTCGAATATCTCATAGAACAATCATCCAAAACATTACTTTCCTCAATTTTTCTTCTCTAGATTTAACCTCATTAGCTTCTCATTATCTTCTCATACCAAAAACAATTGAAAGCACATCACAACCATCTCACCGACTGACTCCATCAAAATATAATACATCCACATTGCAATCAAGAACCACAAATACAGAGAAGTCCATCGCGAGATCTATCGAGGCTGCTCCTATAAATACTGATCTATCGCGTGCGGAGCGGAATGCCAGGTTTCATTTGCGTCGGTCGGCATTCGGCCGGCACGCTCGTAAATCAGCGGGGAAATGATTGGAATAAATTGCTTACATTAACGCGGCTCGAGTCGCTCTTCCTCGAGATTCCCGAGCTTCTAGCCGAGGAAGATGTTCGGTAGGGCAAAACTCGAGCGGCGCGACGACGGCTCGTTAACGCGTTTCCCTCGGCCGCTGGTCGACGGGCCGAAATCGAGGCGATTCGCGCGGTCTGAATGGGAAAAGGGGACGCGCGATCGCTGTCGGGCTGCCAAGCGACGCCAGAACTCGCCGGATCCTAGCAGAAACCGGGAAACAGCCTCCGCGGGGTTCACACGGCACGGAAACAGGTGGCCCGAGTGAACGCTGCCGCGGTTCCTTGCCAGCTTTTAATAAAAGCCGAGCGAGGATCGGCCGCCGACACGCAGTATTTTATTTTCGACGTGCGTTTCGCGCCTGGTAACGTAACACCGTCGCGATCTATTTCCGTTCGAAGACACTTTTAAATCGCCGAGGCCTCCGCTGGATCATCGGCTCCTGACGCCGACTTCCGTCAGCTTCTTGGATTTTCCGTTCGCTCGGCGATTTGGGTTGCTTGTTTCCTTGAGAGCTTTTGTGTTAATTCTTTCATTGGAATATTCGAATTGATTAAAATTGGAATAGATTAAAGATCCATAGATAAAGATGATGAAGCATTATTCTTGTTAGCGATTTTTATCGTTCCTACTGGATCTAGTAGAAAGAGCGTGGAATTTTAGAAAGTTTAGTTTGCGAGTATTGAGATTCTGAGGCTTCGAGAAATTTAACCCTTTGAACTCTCCAATATTGCAGCAGTTATAATATTAAATACTTTAATGAATCCTAAAGAAACTACCCTAAAATTATTCGATTTTCCACGCATCCAAATTTTGCATTGAGAAGGAAAATAAAAGAAATGTTATAGCATTTCTCATTTTCGCTGGGAATACTATAAAAATTAGTTGCAGATGGGACTCATCGAATCTCGAGGAATATGTTCTAGTTTTCAGAACTTTACTAAGTTACTTAGTATCACTAAGTTCCTTTAAAAATTAGAATATAAGTCTCCAGTTACTAGTTGTAGTATTAATAATGACGCAAAGTAATGCAAACGCTCCATGTTTCCAGGCGCGCAACAAGGAACAGGAAACCGAGGTGATGGCCTGGATCGAGGCTGTCCTCGGCGAGAAGCTTCCGCCTGGCAACTACGAGGACATACTGAAGGATGGTGTCGTCCTGTGCAAACTCATCAACAAACTCGCACCAGGATCGGTGAAGAAGATCCAGGAAAGAGGAACCAACTTCCAGCTGATGGAAAATATTCAGAGGTAAAGTAGCGATGACACTGAAGCGTTGATTTGAACAGAATCGATTTGCCAGAAGATAATGTGACACTGTTGGATAGATTCCAAGCGGCCATCAAGAACTACGGAGTCCCACAGGAAGAGATCTTCCAGACGGCTGACCTCTTCGAGAGACGCAACATCCCACAAGTTACACTGTGTCTTTATGCTCTTGGCAGGATTGTAAGTGTCTGGTACAACTGTCGAAATTAGCAGTGGTCAATATTATAAACTCTAAGCTTAGAGGTTGACACTCAATCTTTCTAGATTTTGATTCAGGACAAATTATTCTTGTTTTACACGATTTGTTTGACCTACAACTATCGAAATTTTCTATTGTTCTATGAGTATAGTTTGTTTACATGAATTTCTTTTACATCAATCAATCAATTCTGTAATTGAGTGTAATTTAACTTTTATGATTAGGCTCTTAATACTTGTTTGATTGTAATATTAGTAATGAATGTGATACTAATTGGCTGTTCCTTTATCTAGACGCAGAAACACCCTGAGTACAACGGGCCAGGCTTAGGACCGAAGATGGCCGAAGAAAACAAGCGAACGTTCACCGAGGATCAGCTTCGGGCGAGCGAGGGCCAACTGAATTTGCAAATGGGCTTCAATAAAGGCGCCAGCCAAGCTGGCCACGGTGGATTCGGTAACACTAGACACATGTAAACATTTCCCTCGACAACGACGGTCGTTCTAGGTAGACTGTGGATTTTATGCGTTCGAGGACCGCAATGTATTGTTTCTTCAATAGAATGATTCTAAAGAACTACAGAAAAACTTGAGTGTCATCAACACTAAAACTACCAGACGTGTCAAATGACTGATGTCTTCTTGTTGCAATTATTATAACAAATTTCTCTGAGAAATTATTAAAGAAACTCATGTAGCAAATTGAATTGTAAATCAAAGTCTGAACAGATGCACTGAGTTTCTATAAAATTTCAAAAGTCAATTGAACTGCTCGGTAGTTTTAGTGTCAATCTTTACAGAGAAATCTATGTTCAGTGTTAACAGTATCTCTAATTACTGGTCCATTGATGAGTGAATAATTAGGGAAGATTGGTCCGTCGATTAATCTATAATTGCACAGAGATCCGCAGTCTAGTTGTTCAGCAAACTACTCAACACAGTAACTGTAATATTATTGTAAAATTATTTATTTCCTCTGTACGAGCAACTGCGAGATTCTATGTATACACAGTACACGTTCACATTGTCTACACTACTCACACACACATACACTCAAGCACACGTACAGACACGTACAATGATCACACACGACTCGCACACTATTATAATTACACTCGAATATTATTTATACAACCGAGCACCGATGTCTCTCAAGGTATGCTTAGATACAAGATGAATCTTTCAACTCGCGTGACATTTTATAATCAATTGAGACATCAGACAAACGCGAGGTGCCAACGATGCATTTGTCATCTCGCAGAGAATCTCGCGGTTCCTCTGATCTTAACACTGCGTACCGCTAACGTTTTTATAAAGACACTCAGCTATTCAACTTCGCTAATTGCAGCATCGAAAAGAATATAAAATCTCATTCGAATCGATTGTCTATTTAAAATACATTACATATCTGAGTTTCTCTATGTATAGCGACCCAAGTTGACCTCAGTGAAAATTGCCATCTTCAGTTCTCTGAAAATTAGCCGGAACGCGTTAACGCTAAAACTAAGACGGCTCAAACGACCCATGCCCGATGTCTTCTTGCAATTATCAGAAAGGTAGCAAACGTTTCTCTGAGAAATTATCAAAGAAATTCATTCGGCACTGCGCAGATTGAATTGCAAATCGAAGTCTGAACAGACGCGCTCTTGGAGTTCCTATAAAATTTTCAAAAGTCAATTGAACCGCTCGGTAGTTTCAGCGTCGACTCTCCGCGGAACAGTTGCGATTCTCTACGATTCGGAAGAGCAACGAATGGAAGGAAACGAGAGTAGAACATTGCCAAAGCGAAGCGAGGAGAATCGGTGGAAACGTGTCTCCTCGCTCAGCAATTTCAATAAGAAAATAACGCAACGATATTCGCGATCGTCGTGGATATTTATTAGGACTAACGTGCGTTACAAATATATTTTACTCTGTATTCTGTATCCCACGCGTTCGTGTTCGTCGCGAACGCATCGAGTCCACCGTCTACCGGTCAACATATACATAACTGTACGGAATAAAGAGGCAGCGCTGCTATTTTCTATTAACCGTGCGTTACACGTTACTGAAACCTGTCCACGATTTCCTAGACAATGTCGCGCGCAAGGGCGGAGAAAGACGGCGAAATTTAGAGTTTCCCACGGGTCCCCCGCTGTTGCCAAGTTCCCGGGACATTAATACGCGTTTCTTTTCGCGTTCGGTCTGGCAATAACGAGTTCATTCTCGAAAATACCGCGGTTACACACGGCTCTAAAAAAAGAGCGTTTCGTTCGGAGTGTTCCTTCTCTAAAGAGTGAACCGTTGAAGAGAACTGAGAAGCGTACTTGAATTCCGAATTTTATTCGACTTCAGAGTTGAAACAATTATTACTGGTGTATGCTAACGAATGAAACCTTCCTAAAGCATTGGAACATGTTTGGTATATTAAATAAGGACTCAATTCTTTACTTTCTGTAATTTCCATGCCAGGTCTTTCCACGTATTTAATTAAATTTCTCTACGTTCAGGAGCTAATCGTTTCAAAATAAGAGAGAAGGAGAAAAGAAATCGTAGAACGTATTCAATAAATCTTTCCACGTGTTATTTAATTAAATTTGTTTATGTTTAGGAGCTAATAGTTTCAAAATAAGAAAGAGGAAAGCCAAGAACGTGTTGAATAAGTCATTCCACGTCTAATGTAATTAAATTTGTGTGCATCTAAAAGAGGATATGATCTACATTTATAAATTAATCGTCTCAGAAAATGAATGGGTCGCGTAAAATAGAAATGTCAAGATGGCGACGGTTCTAACGGCTCCAAAAGCCGTTCCAGCTCGATTGCGTTTCCATTTTGGATCCTCGGAGGCCTCGGGCGCGCCCTCAACTCGGTCGAGCTAATTCCGGCGCATCAGCCACGAAAATATCGTCGACTTGTTTGTAAATAAACGTTGCGGCGGCACTCGCGCCGTCATCGCGACACAAATTTTTTCGGGTTTCCCGGTTCTCGCGCCGGCACCGCGCGGATCTTCGATTCAGGCTTTTGCTTTGCTTGGCACGCGTCAATGTCGTTTCGGTTATTTCTGGATTACACCCGGTGCGTGCAGTTAATCGGAGCTGGAACAGCATTGTGTGTTATTGCCAATGAAAAATCATTCGGTTTGCACCTGGCTCTCGGTCTGAGGCAGATTAATGCGAGATGGAAGGAACACGAGCGTTCCCTGCATTTCAAACTGAAAATTTCAAATCTTACGTCTCATATCTGAAACGTTTGAATTGATTTGAATTTAAATTTAACCCTTTGAACTCTAGGCTCCAATATTGCACCAGGAATAATATTAGATATTTCAATGAATCAAAGAAACTACCCTATAATTATTAGATTTTTCACACATACAAATTTTGCACTAAGGAAAATAAAAGAAGAAATGTTATAGCAGTTTTCATTTTCACTATAGATACTATAAAAACTATTAGATCTAACTTACTAGATTACAAAACCTTATAAACTGCACTGATTCTTTCATGATAGCTTAAGTAACATTCAAGCTTCTGCTGACTTCAGACGTTTTCATATTATTTCTCTACGTTTTCCTTGATACGCAACAAATTCCAACAAAAATTCCACGTATGTTATAAATGGTACACATTATAGTGAAAATGAATAACACGTTGACCACAGAAATGTAGAGCATTTAACACTAAGTACTTATCCTAACGAACGCAAATAGTATTCGAGTAAATTAGCAACGATTCGCAGTGGCAGCTCATAAATTAAATTAATTAGAGTAACGGTACACGTGGCACGTAACGCTAATATTCGTACACACCGAAAGCTCGCGTGGGAACCGAAAAGTTCGAAAACAGAACGACCTTCGCGAGACCGGCGCCGCCTCCTCTCCGTTCCACGTGTAAATCAAATTTAGTTTAGCGAATGCACCGCGTGACTCACGGAGTATAAGCCCTCCAGAATTAGAAGCGCCTTAATGAAAACTCGCGAAAGTATTGCGGTGAATCAGACGTTTGAAATAGATGGCTTTCCCGCGTGTCAAGGAGACCGGAGGTTTCTGGTGGGACGAAAATTTTCCAGAATTTCACCTACTGACGCCTGGCGACAGGCAACCGGCGGGACGCGCCGAAACACCACGAACAAATGGAGAGTCATGAAGATAATTCTTAAGAATTAGATAATTTAAGTTTTTTTAGATAATTCTGCTCCAAAGTATTCTGTGCATTGCAAGCACCGAGTAATCATTGAAAAGGCAGAGTGATTAAACTGCGGATCTTTCTAAATGAAATCTTCAAGAACATCATTAGAAGAGCAGAATTACAAGAGCACTGAACTGTAGATATTTTGTATATTGCAATTTTGCAGTTCCTAATTTCCCATTTATGTTATGGAAAGCACTGAACTGTAGATTTTGTGTATTCTCTAATTCGGCAGTTCCAAATTTCCCATGAATGCATCAAAATCCAGTCTAGTTGTTACAAATGGAGATCATTGAATGCACCGAGGAATCGCAGGAGATCAAGAGGAATCGAGATGCCAAGGTACAGAGGCCACGATTCCGGGAACGGTCAGCGAGAATGAATAATTCGTTGAAATGAACGATTCGTTTTCGCGATGCGACGGTGCACCAAGGGCGAAGAGTATCCGTGCGCAGCTTACCTGCCAAAGCGGACGTCCAGGCATGACGAATGGCGGCTGACACAGACGTTCCTCGAGCAATTACCGAAAACGCGCGAAGAGGAGAGAACTCTGTCGAGTCTTTACCCACTCAAGCACAAAAAGTGTGAGCTTCGTGCCTCGTGCCTGCGTATATATGCGTGACAGGTGCGCGCTGGTGTTGGTGAACGTGGGGGCGCTTCTATATATGGACCACTTACTCACCACCACCCTCGTTTACAGCGGCCTCCTCCTCCTCCTCGGAGGGGGTTCCCGGAAAGAATCACGTGGACGTCGCGTTTCCACCGGCTGGAAATAATTCAGGATGTACCAGAAGGGAAGGGTGCCGCCCTTACATCTTCCAAGGAACGCCGCGCGACCGTGACACACAGATTTTGCTCTTGGTGACCCGTATCCCGGAGAGTGGCGCAATACGAAGTTCAAAGTACGCGGATAAGTAAAGTTAGTCGACGGTTAATCGATGATTAATAGGTACAAGAGTGAACGTTCTGTGTGTCTCAATTGCGTGGCATTCGTGAGAATGGTAGAAGAAATTTGGATGGTGTTCACCGTGTTGGTTGTTGATGGAGAGATCAGCTTGGTCAAGGTTCATTTTTGTAGTTTGGAGGTAATCCTGTTGAGCAGTCGCTGCTCGTGCTGCAAAGTTAATGCAAAGTTAATGCTTTGTGTAATTATTGTTAAATTTTCGTTAAGCATTGATAGAATATAAATTGATAATAAATGAATTGCTATAATGGAAAGAGTGTTGAAAATCATTATCTACCTTGTGTCTATTTAGCTTATGATATAGATAGTAAGAATGTGTAATTAGTGTCTCATCTGGTCCCTCTTGTCCAACATTTATTGGAGTATGGATATTCACTAACTCTTTGTTTGGCATTTCACTTGATATGGACGAGGCTGGGTCCTTCATAATGATTTTGAAGTTTCTCAGTTCTTCAACAATGTTGAATGATACATTCTTGACAGTTTTTCTGAAGATTATTGCTACGGCTACTAGTAACATTGAGTATATGGGGAATTCTAGTTTGACCATTTCGTATATGAATCCATTGAGCCAATTTACCATTCAGAATATGATTGTTTAAACCTAATGAGAATTTGTTTAGTGCATGAGTTATGGAATACAGTCTAAGTCCAAATTAGTTATCCAGTATTATTTTAGATTCGTTTTGGCATGTGTGTAGATCTTGTTTAACGAGTTTTTCAAAGATTTTCTCATGGTTAAACTAATGGATCTGTAACCAGTTGAATCTCTCGGGGCAGACCCCAACAGGTAGCGTGGCCGAGCGGTCTAAGGCGCTGGTTTAAGGCACCAGTCTCTTCGGAGGCGTGGGTTCGAATCCCACCGCTGCCATTTAGTTTTTGCTTCCGTCCGCAATAACAGAGCTGCGCGTGGATGCGTTCCCTGGACTGTGTCCTCGCAGCCTTCGCGTTCCGCGGCGTGTAATTAGCGGAAGAAGGCAGTGGTAGCGCTCCTTTGAAGGTCCAATGGGTTGCGTCGGCACGCGGCGCCGTGGTTCACACCTATTAGGAGCGCAGGCAAGAGCAGTAGGCTTACCGTGTCGTGTCCCAAGGCAGAGACATCTGTCAACATTCTCATGAACAATGTCCTGCCATCGATAACGTAGTTTTTGTATAGAAACATCATCTACGAACAGAATACATTTTTCTTCATTCATCTAAACAGACAGGTGATTTTTTCACATTATTCTCCTCAAATAACGTGAAAGGGAACATTTAAAAAACGTAGGAACCTGTAGAACGGTAGATTTGAATTCTATGCTCCTGCAGGTGGATGGAGTCCTGTTGCTATTGTTATCACCGGGGGCTAGCCATTCTTGACCACTTCAGTTAACAGGGTCGATTATTAAACAGCCAGCCGATTGCGAAGGGGAAACAGCGATGGAACACAATAACAAGCTGCAGGCAATCCGAAAAAGTCCGGTGAAAGTATGCTTCTCGATGATCTGCTAGCCTGATCCGTGTTTCATTCTGAAGATGCCACCACGAGCCACACCCTATCGGTACACTTGCAATTTTTCGGACACATCCTCGCAGCGTACACAACCGTCTACAGAAGACACCGTGCAGATACAATTGAAAACCTTTACAATCCTCCGGTTGCTCGAGGCCAATTAACAGTCCTCTCATTAATTTTCATTCGGTTTACCTGTGTATAAATAATATTCCTACATAAACGACAATCCATCGTTCCCCTTATCTGACGGAGAAAATTAGCTGTCAAGAGACGTCGTTCTAACAGACTCCGTGGCGCAACGGTAGCGCGTCTGACTCCAGATCAGAAGGTTGCGTGTTCAAATCACGTCGGGGTCATGTCTGCCTTTCATTTTGCAGCCACGTATTTTAAATACCGTTCACCCAGATATTCATCTTCTCCGTTGATTGATTCCTCCTTATCGTAATCATTTTAGAACCCCACGGTGATCTGTCCTCCTGCAAGCAAGACAATTCGCGGACATTTTATTTCAATTGTATAAGTATATCGCGGAGAACGGTCCGCGCGACACGTTCCAATGGTATGTACGAAAAGAAAGATGGCGGGGAAACGTACCAACGCGTTTAGACGCGTTTCCTTCGCACTGAAGTGCGGAGCGTGCTCACATCCCGCACACAAGACGCGAAATACTAGGGTAACATGAACGTGTCGCCTTTCTCCTCTCTCGTACTGTTGAGCGACATTCGCGCGGGTTGTCTCATTTAGCCCCTCCTTAGACCAGGCTAGCACGTTCACCGAGGAGGTCGACTAAAATGGTTCATCGCTTTCCCTCGCTGTGGCAGCACCTTGATCTGCCTTGCCGACTGATCCGACACTGCACCTGCAACGGAAAGATTGAATCTCTTACGTTCTGACTTGAAGAACAATGCGATACAATAGAAATTTCAGAAGCAATTCGACGTTCGTGTCATTGCTAATAATATTACTTACCTACATGCACTGCTACATATACTGTCCAATTGAACTTATCTTCTCAGCTCGACTCTAAGTGCCGTCATACTCCCCTGTTCCAATGCACCAACTGATTGAGCCTAAATGATTCTGATCGCTAATCATTAGCCTTCTAACATCTCCACAGGAGTATATCTACCAAATCATGCGCTACTTACTGTAATGCTCAGTCTTCTGAAACACATCTGTCCACGAGTGCTATTCTCAAATTCCCTGGCAAAGTGTGACAGTCATTTTCCAGGAAATTCATCTTCAACATAGATAACCTTGACACAGTAAAATCCCATAAAACTACATTCCTCAAACGCGAGAGACACTATTAATACACCATGCGCATATGCAAAATGGAACATTCATTGTATAATCATTGAGCTTAGTCGCAGCGCACACACCCACACACGTCCGTCGTTCACGTACACGCGGTGCGGGTTCCTGCTCGCCGTTCGTCATCGTCGTTTATCTTTCGCCTTCCATACGGCGAACCAGGGGTATGCTAATTTATGCGCAGCCTCCAGTAATCTGTAGTTAACGGGTAGAATGGACATAATCAACAATTTAACCGACTCGCTAGCAGGAGCTCATGAAAGTGCAGAGGCGCGCGCAGCCGGTCGCGCCGGCGCGTCGGCTCCTTGGCTGTCATGGTGGCCGCGGATGGGAAAGACACAATTTTGAGGAAGAGCCGCGCGGGCCTTAAGTACCTCTGTGACGTACAATACTTTATTGGCCCCAACGACCTCTTTCCATTGCTTATCGGTTCATTGACTCCGGAATGGCTTGAAATTTCGGTAGGACAACGCGTCCCACGAGGCTGTGACGTCATCAGGCGTCCTCCCGCCTCCACTGCGCGCCGAATAATCCATTGTAACCTGCTCGGAGCCCACCTGTACAGATCAAAGTATCATCACGGGACAGTGACACCGTTTTTCCCCAAAATCGGAATTAACGATGCGTCCCCCTCGCGTGCACGTGGCCGAGACGTCCCATGAATACTGGAACGCATCGCTGTCACCTTCCCTCGCCGTCGGATACAGAAATCATCCGCCACGATGGTGCTCGTCGATGGATCAAACCTTATTACGCTTTCCCCTAAAATTAACGCGCGATTTAGCGTGCCGGTGAGGGGACACAGGTACAGCTGAAGATGTGTTGCGCGCGAGGCGGCGCACTAGCGCTGCCGTCGGCGGCGTCGTGAAATTACCGTCGGCCGCATGCGTTCCTGTTGAAAAAATTCCTCACGGGCGAAAGTCAAGGTATGACGGGCTGCGCGCCAGGCCGGCGCGCACCTACCACGCTAGCGTGCTCTCCTGGTGCTAGGAGGGGCTTTGTGAGACAACCCGCGCGAAACTCTTTTCAACGTAGGGAGAGAAACGGCCTCCTGCTCGCGCATGCTGCTCGGATAATTCGGTGCTTGCATGCGGGATGTGAGCACGCACCGCGTGCCTGTTTGTAGACACACCGTGACAACACCAAGGGATTAATGATCGTACCGCTGTGTGCGGGGTTTGCGCTGGTGTTGCGTGCAACACGTGTGCACTGTTCGTTTAGAAGGGACCTAGCTAGACATGATTCGTTAATTGACAGGTTAAAAGGCATAGTTTAAAATACGGTACGTAATACTGTCGGGTTGTATTCGATGAAGCGTGTGTACGTGTGGATGCGTGTCAGTGTGTAGTACTGGGATGTGTGGATGGAAGCTTCCTTTTTGGGATGTTGTTATTATGGGCTACGGATAATGAAGCTGTTTTTTTAATTAAACGGTATGTTGGTTAAAATGAGCTTTTCTTCATAAATTATTGATCTTCCGCCGGCGAAAAATGGAAGTATTCTGTATTAGGAAGATCGATGTAGACAAGACTCCGTGGCGCAACGGTAGCGCGTCTGACTCCAGATCAGAAGGTTGCGTGTTCAAATCACGTCGGGGTCAATGGTTTTTTTTTATTGATTTTTATGGTTTGATATTTTTTTAGGTGAATGTTTATAATGAAAGGTAATTGATTTGATTTGTTTCTTTTCTTTTGCAGTTTTATTGAGAGAAAAAATGAATTGAATTTTTGGAGAATCACAAGATGATTTCAGCTACTGTGGAACGATTGATTAAGTGGATAATCTGTACTCGGTTTTCTTCCTTTCATTTATGCGTATCATAAGGATGTGAAAATATAATAATATTGGTAATCAATCGGTAAATTCGTGTAATGTTTGAACTTGTTCTAGATGCTAGTTAAAAATGTTGCTCGAAGGCGCCGTGGCTTAGTTGGTTAAAGCGCCTGTCTAGTAAACAGGAGATCGGGGGTTCGAATCCCCCCGGGGCCTAGCGGATTTTTTTTGGTGAGTTTTTATTGATAAAATTATTTTTATATAATGTAGTTTTGTATAGGAATATTAGACACTTAATATGCAAGTCACTGAACCACTAACGAGTCAAAAGGTTTAATTACTTTAGTACAATATTTATTCGAACAATATTAGTATGATACAAATAAATAAAAATGATATATGGACAATGTATAATGCATTAAAAACAACGTATACGTTCTTATTGCTTAGAAGTCAAATTTGTAGCCGTTTCCGCTGACTTTCACACGAGCTACAGCAGGTGCAGAAGAATAAGCAATGCCTAACAAATTCTGAGACTGTTGTTCCTGTTGCTGTTGTTGTTGCTGTTGTTGCTGTTGCTGCTGCTGCTCTTGTTGCTGCAATTCTATTTGTTCTGGGACCTACGGATGATTACTATTAAACAGAAATCACATTTGAATTTTATACAAATTTCAATAAGTGATTGTTTTTAGATTAAAACTTTTACCTGCTGTGCTTGGGCAACTTGTACCTGTCCTTGCGACTGAGCTTGGGCTTGCCTTAATGCGAGAAGTTGGGCCAACTGTGCCTGATACAGAGCAGCCGCAGAGTAACCTTGTGGTTGTTGAGCTTGCTGTAGCTGCTGATAGTAAGCTAATGCAGCAGGGTCTACAGCAGCTTGGTAAGGCAACGGTGCGGGTGCAGAAGACACAAATGTAGGTGCAGCTTGTGCAGCTCCATAGCCATTCGCAATTGGACCAACTTGATACACTCCTAAAACGTGGAATAGTTTACTTTGATTCCTTTGTTTAGAATACAACAAATTCTCCGGGGAAGCGGTTACAAACCTAAGCCAGGATTTCTATAAGCAAGAGCACTCGCGAGGCTGGGCAACACTTTCTGTGCTAAATAAGGATTTCCAATACTGGAGCTGAACGACTGATGAGAACTGGGTCCATTAAATGCAAAGGCAGTTTGCGTTAAACCTGGCCTGATGAAGCTGAAGGACGCATGCTGGTCAGAACTGCCTAGCAAATTGGTTGGTTTCACATGGACAGGTGGTTCAGCGAACGAAACGGAGAGCACCATACAACTGAGTACTATGTATTTCTGAAAGGATAGATTTCGTAGAAACTATGACACTGACGAGTGGAGTATGAGCATGCCTCGACAAACCGTTACACCGTTCAATAGACCTGAGAATCTTGTCAAAGTACTTACCATCATTCTGCTAGCCTATGAGGACTTGAAAAATATTTCACGCGAACAGACGACAGCGTTATCAACCGAACATCAACTATTCTGACACTAAGTCACCCCGTGGGGAGTTATATATCGCGGAAGCGGCCAGGCTGATACGTGAGTAGCATCGCATCGACACATTTTCAGAGGTACAATCATACTTTCTCCGAGATGCCGAGATGGGACATGAATCGTAATCGTTTGATATCGTTTCTATCTTTACAGAAAATCTTTATAATACAACATACTGTACACAGTTGTATGATTATTTACAAGGAATATCAACTATTTGAAATTTGCCATCGCCGTGTCTTTTTAAAACATTGGTGTATTATACCCGAAACCTTGAGTGTTTTTCACAGAAATATATATGTGTGTGTATGTACAAGAATCGAATGACTACAATCAACATAAAAAAGGTAGTGGTACATTTAGTCTGATTTATCTATGACCATGACATTGCCGAGGAAAGTTACTTTCAGCCACACGGTACTAATACGCAGACAGGTTATTAATGGTAATCAGTAAGTCGTTCGTGGAATATTAAATAACTGGCAGTGATACAATTTATTTATGTCTCGCACATACTCGGAAGCCATACTTAAATTCGACCATAAAGCATCCGTCAATTTCTCCCTGTTCATACTGTCATCATATTAATACGACGCGTTAAGTCTATCTGTTCGTATAAATGTTGTACATTACATGGTAAATTTAAACATACGTTTCGACATAGTGTAGCCGCAGCGATTTTATTATTATACGTATTACAAATTTTAAAAGTTAGTAGAAATGGTTTCATTGGACAGCCGATATTGTGCGTACCCTCCTGTAGGTACCTTTTTCAAAAAATATTCTGACAACGTTGAAATCAATAGACCAATTACACAGATTGACGTAGATTTGTGCGAAATGACGTGAAATCGTCCCTTCCGTGATGAACTTCTCACATACTGGAAAAGTATGACTGATAGAACATGCCCATGGCGGTAGTCGCGAATAACGTGAAACAACTCCACCATGTTGCCAGACCCAATAAACCTCTGTACACGTCAGTTGTAAATATCTGCAAGATAACAAATTGCTTTATGTACTAAAAACTGTATGTACCATTATTTAGGAAATTACAATTAATATTACCTGCTTCAAAGAACCCAACGCGAGCTGAAAGTCTTGGGCAGTTTGTGTTACAGATTTTTCAAGATCATCGTTAACCATTCCATTCAACGCTGACTTCGGTGGCTCATCTGCTGGGCACTCGTCTACAGCTACATCTTTTAGAATACCTTCCCACGTGTAACCACCTGTTAAAAGGACACCAATGAGTGAAGAAGTATCATTCAGAAATAATTATTTGGAAATAGGTTTACCCAGTGTCTTGTACATGAACGTGAAAAATAAACATATGATTAGCGGAACAATAAATTGCAACGCAACGACACACAAATAGTAAAACACTGCCGCAATCTGAAAGAAATTGAAAGGAAATTGTTAATACAATTGATGACTATATTTTTGTACGGAATTATTTCAAATGTTTCTCTTGCGAACACCTTTTTCTGCAAATCGACATTTTTTATTCTACCGGCCTCCTTTTTCTGGCTCTCTAATCGTTGCACGGCTAAATTTAGGTATGATTGCAGATACATTGGCATTAATATCAACTTTAACAAAATCGCAACGATGATTGCAATTAGCCTCATGCTCTCGAATGTTGAAGGTGTCATTCTGTAAAGATTTATTTTGAAGATGATGATCCTGTATATCGTTAAAGTAGTCTATAAATTTAAACTTACATTGGACCATTCATACCAGTAAATATTCGGACTGTAAGATAATCCCTACTTATAGGTTTAATCCATAAGCTTATCAATAAGAGTGGAGAAGCATAACTAATGTTTGAAAGTAATACCAATATCTTTTGATCTTTGTAATATCTGAAATATAAAACTTCATTAAACTACTGTTGTACTAAGAATACATTGAATACGGCTACAATCTTAATACCTCAATGCATCCCAATGCATTTTCGACACTCTCAATCCAGGGAAAGTAAACAAAGAACCAAGCAAACCACACCATAAGGCAAGAAAGAACTTTATAACAATTTTTGATGCAGGTCCTCTACAAAGGGAATTGCAAGAGCATATTTACACGAGAATGAAATAATTAGTGAAAAATATTGGAAGTCTTTAACAAAGATACTATAGACTTACGTAGACGAAAGACCTTGATTATCTAAAAACAAAGACGCGCTATGATTAAAGCTCGCGTAAGCTTTGTCCAATCCGATCTCAAGGTTGTTTTCATCGACTATAAGAATCATCATAGCTATGAGAAGATAAGCAAATCCACTCACAATGCACGTCGACCTTTCCCCTATGCTCTCCTCTCCTTTGAAATATTCTATCCACAGAGATAGCAACACTTTGCTAGATACTAATTAAGGAAGTCAATCAATATACAAGATTCAATCCTAAGAAAAAGATTGTTTTGATGCGAGTCAATAGAGAAAAGGATACAATGCGAAACCCAGAACCAACGAGCACCAAAGCATACTTAGATTTATTTCATCTTTGATTGGATATAAATAATTATATACCTGTTTAATATGAAGCATTATAAATACGTATGGAAAAGGGATCTATGGAATTCCATTATACTCTGTCCGTTTAGAGAAAGTATTACCAACCTCTGTCATAATATAGACCACAGTAGCATAAACAGAAAAGTCTAACAACCACTGATACTCTGTATAATATTTTAAATGTACTACATCTAAGGTAGTTATCTTAGCACTCTCAAGCGTAATATCCAAATTTCTAGGAACTTGAAACACATCAGCCACCTTCCCGTTCTCCATATGCTTGCCTTTTTTGGGTTTCTCTTTAGGCACACCCACGAGACTCCTTAGTTGTTGATCAGTCGGATACAAGTAGCGTGTCAACCTACCGGTTAATCATAAAATCCTGTATTAAATCTGTACCCTACATAATCCGTATCGTTACCAATTAGTCAACCGTACCCTGTAGAACATAAGATCCATCTTGCCAAGGAGAAATGTGGAGTCAATTTTTGGATGACACTGACTATAATAAGAGTGATAACCAATTGAGCCCCCAAGAGAGCCTGAAACATGCAACTCACGTTTAGCAGCGTTCACCTAGGATTGTCACCTACTCCGGGTAAACGCATTCAAGGTAATTACCATGACTGAATTTGTTACGGGATTTTTAAAAAGAAAAACCAAAGTGGATCCACCGGTCTCACGAAACCGTAAGTCCCATCACGGAAACCGTAATTCCCCGATAAACCGTCGACCAGCGTTCAAAGACACAACGATGAATTATCTCGGATAGGACGCCGGTAACGCGTGTTCGACCATTTTAAATGGCACACGATCGAATAGCTGGTTTTATAAATAGTTGTAACCCCGCGAAACCGAAAACATCGTAACCCTTCGCATGGGATATGAGGTTATTTCCAGTTATTCCTATTCTATCTATAGTAAGGGCAGATCGGCCTGTTTGTAGCGAAGCCTCTCTACCTAGCCGACAGATGGCTAGACGTACCAATTAATTCCTTCAAGTTCGTTGACTGAACTCATCCTCCCTAAAAACAATTCTCATCTACATGACATTTCTTCCTTCACAAAAACCCTTTCACTGTCAAACACAGGATCTTTCTTCATGGAACACAACTCTTCATTTCTTCCTGAAACAAGTACGCATTTCATTTCAAACGGTCCTTTAACGTACCGGTTTACCGATTACGTTTCCGCAAAAGGAATGTGATTGTTGACTTAACAAAATAACTTGTATAGACGTTTATTTAAATGATGTCAATTTCTATATTTTTCGTTGGATAAGAAAAAGATGTTTTCACCTGTCTAACCAGCACGGGAAACCGATGCATTTTTTAATTTATTAGTACCGGTCATTTGACCGTGGTGTGTTTAGTGTTAGCACGTGGTACCGGCAGTGCGTCGTTATCGATAGATCGGGCTGATGCAACGAGCAGTACCCGCAGGTACGCACAATGGAAAACGAATTTGCAGGAAAGTCACAAATCACAGGAAATGCTGGTCTCGCGATTACGCGTAAACGAAGAATTCGGAACGACGGAGAGTGAAGCAACGTCTGACAGCGTGTCGATGCGCAAGCAGCCTCCATGAACCGTTTCCCGCGGTTTTTGACCGAGAAACCGGATGCACCCGAACCGTTCGTACACTCGGACCACGAAAAATGATTCACTCGGGGAAATTCAGCGATGCTCGTTATTCCAGAATTTTTCTTGTCGAATTGATGAACATCTACGATGTGTACGTACATATTGAACATGTTACTATCGCTGGCTAACGATCGACATCGTTGCGTTAATGCCGAACAACAAAATACATTAATTAATCAATCCTACGCGCAGAGCTACAGGATCTGATGCGATCTCGCATCGCGGGATTTCCATTCAATTGATTACGTAATCTGGTAATTATAAACGGACGATCTTCGATTGAACCTACGTCCCGGTGAAATATAGTAATTACATATTTGATCGGTCGAGGTACGTCCGTGGACGAAGGTGACCAGACGCGGTTCGTTCAGAAGTATAATAGAATCATTTTGGTATAGTTAATTATTTGATAGACGATTACTGTTATTAATATTATTTTTATTATTAGTATTATCATCATTACTGTTATTCTATAATTTTAGGAAACGGATCGAATCGATGAACGAAGGTGACAAGAGGCGGTTCGTTCAAAAGTATAATAGAATCATTTTGATACCATTCATTATTTAATAGACAATTACTATTATTATTATCTTCATTATTATTATTCTATAATTTTAGGGAACGGATCGGATCCATGAACGAAGGTGACAAGAGGCATTCAATTAAAAAGTACAATAGAATCATTTTGATACCATTCATTATTTAACAGATAATTACCATTATATTATCTTTATATTATTGTTCCATAATTTTAGGGAACGGATCGAATCGATGCACCACCACCCTGAACGGCTACTGAATCGATAAACGACATAATTTTTTCCTTAAAATGTTTCCACGGTCGTTTCCTTGATGGTCCTCGCATTCAACTGTACAATGGCGTCAATATTATCCAATACAGATGTAATCACGTTCATTATAGCGATGACTGCAGCAGATCGATTTTCCTCATTATTAATTATACTTGCATCGATAGGTTATTGGAATCTTAACGCGTTTACTACCACGGTGATCGCCACTAACATCGCCGAACTGTTCCAAAATATTTACCAGAAGACGATTAACGCCAAAGAGAATTGTTTAATAACGTGAGTTCGCTAATTGTAGCATTGAAAAGAATATAAAATTTCATTCGAATCGATTGTTTATTTAAAATACATTACATAACATATCTGAGTTTCTCTATATACAGCGACACAAGTTGACCTCAGTGAAAATTGCCATCTTCAGTTCTCTGAAAATTAGCCGGAACGCGTTAACGCTAAAACTAAGACGGCTCAAACGACCCATGCCTGATGTCTTCTTGCAATTATCAGAAAGGTAGCAAACGTTTCTCTGAGAAACTGTCAAAGAAATTCATTCGGCACTGCGCAGATTGAATTGCAAATCGAAGTCTGAACAGAAGCGCTCTTGGAGTTCCTATAAAATTTTCAAAAGTCAATTGAACCGCTCGGTAGTTTCAGCGTCGACTCTCCGCGGAACAGTTGCGATTCTCTACGATTCGGAAGAGCAACGAATGGAAGGAAACGAGAGTAGAACACTGCCAAAGCGAAGCGAGGAGAATCGGTGGAAACGAGTCTCCTCGCTCAGCAATTTCAATAAGAAAATAACGCAACGATATTCGCGATCGTCGTGGATATTTATCAGGACTAACGTGCGTTACAAATATATTTTACTCTGTATTCTGTATCCCACGCGTTCGTATTCGCCGCGAATGCACCGAGTCCACCGTCTACCGGTCAACATACACACAACTGTACGGAATAAGAGGCAGCGCTGCTATTTTCTATTAACCGTGCGTTACGATTAGGTGCAGCGTGTTAATCCGGCATACGTGATTGCAGCCGTGTCCACCGGTGTTGCGCGACGGATCCTACGGGGAAACGGTGCCGCTCGAAAACCGAGCGTGTGTCCGGACACGGATGTCGAGCGGGTCCACCGCGAATGGATCATCCTCTTCGAGGAAAAACGCGCGGACCGTTTATTTGGAAGAACGCGGCGAGCCAGGCGGAGGAAGACACGATATAAAAACAACAGGCTCATCGGTTCACGCGATCAAATGCCGGGAAGTGTTCGCCGAGCGTGGAACAACTCGAACGATAGCCCGCAACCATCCGTGGACGTACGTATAACACAATCATCGCCGTTTCGCGAGACGAGCGCACGAAAACCGCGTTTCATTAACATCAGGCCTGAAGCGAGGCGGAATATTTCGCGGAGGTTTCCTTGAATTCTCGTTGACGTAACCTTGCGTTGTGGCGTTAGGTCATCCTGTAAGCGACGTCCGTTATCTTGCGAGATGTCTGAAGGATACGTGGAACATGCTATCGAACGATTAGCCCTTTGTAATTAGAAGTGTCTCGTTAGAGATGTTTAACCAGTCGAAATGACTGGTTTCGATTTGCTTGTTTAGTTATTAACCTTTTGCACTCGAGAGATTGATGATTAATATTTATTTAATTATTTATCATTAATTAATTTATGATGATACAGGAAAATTATAAACTTTGATATTTACCATTAACCTTTGTATACTGCATCGATACGTGAAGTATTGAAGGAAAATAGCTTTGGTACCTAATTTATGTATGATTCCTTGTTAAATTCATTTTAAAGAATGTTGTTTACATCTAATTGGGTAGTATAGAGTACTTCAAGTGAAAAACTTTGTGCAAAGGGTCGCGAACCGATCTAGCAACGTGGATTCTTGTAATGTGCACCGTCACACGGACGCAGGAATTATATAATTGCGGACGATACTTTATCACAAATGGGAGAAGGACGGGTCAGAGTCAGCGACGATATCAGCCTCGGAGCGACCGAAATTGGAGCAAACGTCGAGGAAATCGGAATCTCGTGATTCTCGTGATTCTCGCGGCACGGCGAGTCGAATGTCGACATTGGATTTTCGCGGCTATTAACCCTTTGCACTCCAGAGGTCTAAGTCACCAAATGATTTGACATGCCAAAACTGTAAATTTTGATATTTAATATTGAACTTCGTATAATGCATCAATGTACGAAATATTGGGAGAAAATAGTTCTCTTCCTGAATGCATGTAAGATTTCTTAATGTCATCTGTATCTCATTAGAAAATATCGAATAATTCCGGTGAAAAGCTTCTAGAGTGCAAAGGGTTAAATTAGTTTCAAAGAATGTCTATATCTGATAGGAAAATGTTGAATAATTTCGAGTGCAAAGGGCGAAAAATGTCATCTGTATCTCATTAGAAAATATCAAATAATTCCAGTGAAAAACTTCTCGAATGCAAAGGGTTAAATTAGTTTCAAAGAATGTCTATTTCTGATAGGAAAATGTTGAATATTCCCAGAGGAAAAGTTTCGAGTGCAAAGGGTTGACGAGGTATCGTAATGACGGCGATTGTTATTGAAAGGACTGCTGCTAACGAATGGATTGACGCGTGACTAAGCACCTGGACGAAAGATCGGTCCATATAAGATCTACCTACGTGTAGCGACTCGATTTCCTGGGAGACTCATTCCGGAAACGGTGCACGTACAGGCTGGGTCCGGGGCGAGCAAACGAAAAAATCGATCTTATTGCGCCGCGAACACTTTCCGCGATCGGTCCGAGGATATTTTCGTTCGACTGGAACGCGCCGGACAATAAACAATCCTTTTTGTTGTTACCTCTCCGCAGGTGTGCGACGATTACACGAGCAGAGATGACGTCGATCTTCCTCACCGCGATTCTTCTGTTCTCGTTCGGCTGCTTCTCCCACGCGGCGAGCAGGCCGGACTACATTGAATGCCAGAGCAATTTGGACTGCGAGGTTGGACACTGCTGTACAATAGGTATGAGGTTTAAGTGTGAGGAGTGTGATAGGTCTGAGATTTGAAATGTTGAACTGCTCGGTACTTGTATGTGTGATACTTTGGGAATCTTAGAAAATTATTGTGATACTGATGTGATGATGGTACTTTGGAAATCTTATGTGAAAGTAGTATGATAGATATGATGATGATACTTTGGAAATCTTATGTGAAAGTAGTATGATAGATATGATGATGATACTTTGGAAATCTTATGTGAAAGTAGTATAATAGATATGATGATGATGCTTTGGAAATCTTATGCAAAACTAGTATGATAGATATGAGATTTAAAATCTTAAACTGCTCAGTACTCATATTTCTGGATACAATATGATGATACTTAAAAATCTTATGCAAAAATTATCACATAAAATTTAACATTGTACAAGGATATTCTCCAAGAGAATCATACACGTATAATTATTGCACATTACTATTGAATCAACTGCCTTGGCATTTACTCATCACTGTATCCTTCAATATAATTTGTACGAGGTTTGCGCTGTTAATTCCATAGACTGACAACTCTTTATTTCTTATTTATTTCTTATATCTAACGACGAAACAATTGTTTCCAGGGCCGATCAGGTACAGCACCCCTCAATGCAAACCGCTGCTATCGGTGGGAAGCACTTGCAGGCCGGGCAGCGCTTCCACTATCAACATGACAGCCTCATACCCTGACGGCACCGAAGTCCTGCTGACCGACGTTCATTATATCATGTGTCCCTGCGACAACAGTCTGTTCTGCGACCGAGGAGTCTGCAAGGAGTCGACCCACCAACACGGTTCCAACGTGCTGGTCGATGGGAAGCAGACTCTCGAGGATTGATCAACACGTTAAACGCCACGTTAAACTTTTCGTTCAGGCGCGGCCGGTGCGGACTAGGTTCATATTACACGACCGTGTGTGTCGCTCCTTACGCGCCGATGCGAGACTAAATATTTTGCTTAGGCGACATCAGTTTCTGTTCACTCAAGGCTTGAAGAAAAGAATATAATATTTGAAAAAAGTTAATGTAGTTTATTAAAGCAGGGTAAACAGAGGTGTGTTTGCTTTTACGTTCATTGCAGAAGGTGCTGACTTTGTGTTAAATTCTTTGCCACCTTTGAACCTAATGTTCGGGAATTATTATTGTAACATTGAGAAAACTCCGGTCCTCGAGCCGATATTTCGGCCGTCCGTCAGTGACGGCCGCGTCTGGGCCTGAACGGAACAAGCAAGTCGGGCTGGCACTTAACGTGTTAACGCGTTCGCTACCAGCGTCACATGTTTGACGATCGACGTTTCACATCTCGTGCAAAGAAGAGTAAATTGTATTGCGTTCTCGGCTTTGCAACGCATGGTATATTGTACAGAAAATTGTGAAAAGATTTGGTGTATTTTGCTATGTGAAATACGTTCAACGTTACGGTAACTCAAGGTACAAGAAAATAAGAATGAGAATTTCATGGAAAATGATTCGAAGAGTAACCAAAGCGTTAAGTATTCTTAAGTTAAATGTAACGAGGAGAACACGTGTTAACGAGTGTTAAACGTGTTTGTAAACTTATGCTTGTCTCGATGCAATGTGCTTGTACTGTATAAAGTCATCGAATAAAATTCAGATACTGCGATAATGTATTTCATTTATTATTCTTTGTGTACGCAGAATGATGTCGAAGCAAATGTGTCGGTAATGACGGTTTTTATTTGTAGATAAAGACAATTTCTGTTAGAAATTGTTTATGCATTTTAAATTCTTTTGTTAATGTCGGTGATAGTCTTTTGTAGATATTCAGTTGGAAGCAAGTCGAAGTTGGTCGATGAAATATTTGAAGGTTATAATTTAGTGAATATTGTAAATAAATATATTGAATAAAGAAACAGCGACATCTGTGGCGAAACGTCCAAGCTACTCGCCAATTAGTTGATGATTTGAGTGCTGGATGGCGCCACAATGCACTTTGAGCATTTATTTCGTTAAAAAAGTAAAGTTATAAAATGTTTTATAGAAGGATGTCTGATGTTTTATTTAATATTTCATGAGATAAATGGTTCATCAACGAGTCGGAGTAATTAAATAAGCGGAATTTTTATTAGTTTTTTGCGAATGTAAAATTGATTTGTACCATTTTTTAACTGCGCTTATGACCCTGTTTTATTGCGCAGATCTGATCAACTTCGGCGCTTCGATTCCCAGTCGAATCATTCGGAAATTATTGAATATTTGTTTAATAAAACAATATTGAATTGAGTGCTTCTTTCGTTATGGACAGTGAAGTCTGTGGAGATGGAAGATTATTAGATCTGATCGATGAAGCTTGGCATGATGAATGTTTGCCTCTTGATGATATTATAGTACCACCAGCAGAATTACCCGATCCAGAAAGTGACAATAGCGATTCTCATATGACAGTAAAGGAATTAGAACAAAAGTGGAATAATTTGGCTCTGGGTACTCTTAGCGAAAATCATTTGCATTCACCAACACCATCTCACAATTAAGCAGGTAGCTGTTGCATTGGAAATTTTATATAACCAACATGTATGCTGACAATTTATTTACTAATGTTTATTCGTTGAAAAAAACTGTAGAATGGAGTTCCCAGATGTAGGAGAAAGATGTTCAATCCAGGATTGCAAAGAACTGGATTTTTTACCTGTCGTATGCAACCATTGCCATGATACTTTCTGCAAACAGCATTTTGATGTAACTTCTCACGAGTGTACAAGTTTTCGTGACAATGTTGTAAGCACTAAAACAAAATCCTCTAGTTATGTTTGCTCGGATGAATCTTGCAAGGAAACTTCACCTATCAATATGCTTTGCATCAAATGCAAGAAACATTTTTGTTTGAACCATAGATATCATGGGTGTTTAGAATACTCTAACGAAGAAAAGACAATGAAATTAAAGAAATGGCAAATACCAAAGAAACAATTCGCAGAAGCGAAAGCAGTAGTAGATCAGGAAATTACAGACAATTTAAACAAATCTAAGAACACTGCAATGGCTAATAAAGTATGTTGTAGAATATAAATAATCTGTAATTAATAATATAATATATTTACTTTGAACATTACTTTTACAGATAAGAATGATGCGTATAAAGGGTACTGCTGTTGGTCCTAAAAATGTACCAATGAACAAACGTTGTTACTTCCTTGTGTATCCACCAATTAAAATAACAAATAAGAACATAGGGCCGTCAAAGGGCATTTTCGTGAACATGACTTGGCCGATTGGTAAAGCCATAGATTCATTGGCCGACACGCTTAAAATATCTAACAACAATAATGTAGCAGGTGCATGTAGATTACAATTATTTCATCATGCAACTGGTGCACTAATATGCGATGAGATGGATACACCATTGACAACACTGTTAGAAAACTCTGAACTTGTCAACGGGCAAAGTGTTATTTTAGAATATTCGGATAGCATGCCTGTAGATATTTCTTTATACAAATAAAATTATTTACAATAAATGATAACACCAGTTTTTGTTTCTTTCATTTTTACATAATTCAATTTGTAGATTTATTAAACATCTTTTCCCCTTCTTTCCATGTATAATAGTTCACTGGTAATGGCAAGAACACAATATTAGAATAATACTTATTTATTACAAACTAGATAGATTCATATATCAGTTTTACATTTATTCTTGATAAAAAGACACACAAATGTACTCCATATGCACTCAATAAACGAATTGTTTACACCAGATTATTGTCAGGTTTTGATCCAAATAAAAATGTTAGACAATATTCTGACTTTGGCACTGGACGTTTTCTCGTTTATACGTTAGAGTTATATTAATATAGTATAATAAAAGGAAACTATATTGATTCGTAAATGACTATATGCTTACTGATATTTTTATAACATGCTGTATAACGATTAAAAAAATTGATACGTATCAAAAGAGTTCCGAAATTAACTTTTTCAAGCGATGTGCGTGTTTTATCTGTGTACTTGTTTATTGTATTCTATTCTGTTTGATAATCATTACTTTTTCTTTAAAGAAAGGCAAAAGGTTAAAACATTTCTGTAAATAATTATGTAAACATAGTGAGAAAAAAATGAACAGTAAAAAAAGAGTTTGAATCTTGTATAGATTGTTTCTACTTTGTAAATTATATAATGTCATGATAAGTCTTTTATGGGTCAATTATTTAAAATCTTAAACTGCTCAGTACTTATATATATGGATACAATATGATGATGATACTTTGAAAATCTTATGCAAAAATTACTATCATATAAAATTTAATATTGTACGAGGATATTCTTCAAGAAAATCATACATGTGTAATTATTGCACGTTAGTACTGAATCAATTACCTTGGCATTTACTCATCATCACTGTATCTTTCAATAATCTTCTATTAACTCAAATTTCTATTTATATGTAAGTAGTTTTTGCAAAAGTAAATTCACGTGTAACCGAAAGTTCAGACTCAGATCTTCTTTTCTCTATTAAACTAGTTTAACCAACTTGCTGCTATATAGGTAAAATTTTTTATGGAAAATGTATATGGCTATATCATTCGAGAATTTGATAAAAATGACAAGAAAGTATAAAACTTATCTATAATAACAGAGAAATGTATATATATATATATATGTATATAAGTAAATGCTAACCTTTGTTTAAATATTTATGAAAATAATTTTTAAAATAAAGAACAAGTCTAATTAGAAAAAGAATGCATAATATGTATACAAAGATCGCGAAAAGAACGAGTAATGTCATTCGAACATTTACGTGCGTTTCAACGTCCTGGCCTCTTGTTCGGCCACTGGCCACCTGCCAGCTAGGAGGGGAATGAATCTGGTAGCGGTAGGTGGCCTGAAGTCAAGCTCAGGAATGCCAACGAGATTTTTGCAATTCAATTTGACCTTCTAGCGTTTTAGCAAGATAAATTACGAATAACTGACTAAGGGCTATGCCCAAAGCGATACCAGCTATCGTATACAAATTTCGTTCTGCCCAACTTCTTACAATTTCAATACAACCACTAGTCCATACCTTCTTCCCTGCTTCAGAGACTGGTAACATTTGAACTTTGTATCCACACATTATATTCACAAGACCACTCTGCAAAGTTAAGCAACAAATAATCATAAACTTCTAAATAATATTACACACTTACAGAGTATGAATCATTGATCAAAACTGATAAACTTACTGATATGTCTGTAGCATTAATACAACAAGAGAACGGTACACCACAGCGTTCTACGCTAGGACTGGAACAATTGAAGTATTCGTTCTTTCCCCAATCTAAATATCCTTCTTGACTCAAACCACAACACCGAAACTGCAAATAAACATGTTTATGTAGACAATGTTATCAATCTGAATAATACATCTGAATAAGTATTCTGTTATAAGAGTCCTCACTTCTTGTTGTCCAAAATCAATGAAGTTTTGTAGATCAGGATCTTCTCTATATGTTTGTATGATTTTATCTGTAAATGATTCCTCTAACAATGATTGCAATGTATGCGGGAATACAAAGCCAACAATTGCTACACCCATTTCAAGAAGAAAGAAGACTAACAGACACAGCGAATACTACAATAAATAGATATCATGTAAATAAGCTACAAACATACACTTAGCATACATATAATAATACTAACAAATTTCAGAAGACATGTATTTTCACGCAATGCTCCAACACATCCTGCAAAACTAACAACAAATACCACTCCTCCTGCGATGACCATTACAAGAGAAATATTCAAGACCACGTCATATACATTCTCCACTCTAACAGATCCAGTAGCTTGCCATTTGTCCACGAATGCGTATAAACCAACTCCGATCAACAATCCTCCGAATAACTGCACAATACAATACAATATTTGAGATTATATTACATTTGTGCTACCCTGTAATTGACATTAGGTCCCTCAAAATTTTCAAGAAATTCAGAGGGATTATACAGGATTTCTCATAACAATAAAATAAAATTTGTTGATATATCAATTATCTGAGAAACTCACCCAGAAAACGAAATTGAGCATAAATATCATATACTTTACACATGAACTAACATATGTAAAGTTATTTGTTCGCCTCCGGTTATTCATCATTGTAAAGAAAAAACAGTTTTACAAGGTATTGGTTGGTATGTACAATTAATACAAGACGCTCGGCGCTTTCAGCTATATATATATACACATGTACAATTTACATCGGCTGCATTGCTAATTCGACGATTTCACATACTGGATACATATTGATGAACTTTTCACTTGATCGTAGATTAATTATATTTGATGATCCATGAATCAAACCAAAACTATAATGCACCATTCTTTGACAGCTTACTTTGGATCCGCCATTACAGTTCCGCTTCTCGTATTCCCTGCTTCGATTTGAAATCAGCTGTCCACGCGTTCCATGTTCCAGTAGAAAGGAACAGTGCATGTGTCTATGATGAACTGATTGTGTAAAGAATTGTCGACGAAGAAATTCGCAATAATTTAACTGTGAATCTTCATGTTTTTCTGTATATATTAAAGAAGAGATAAAGTGTTTGCTCGTAAAAATGTCATCGGTACACGATCGTAAGTTTCTTAGTTATTTACTCTTGTTTGTGATTTGAAGGTTAAGAGAACTATTAAATATTAATACGCGTCTTTTAAATGTTTAAAGTTTATTGCTTTATGATAGGATCAAACTACGTGTATTTTCTGTTATTGACAAAACCTTAAGAATCTTGTTCATTGTTTTCGTTTCTACATATGAAATAGATGAAATAAGTCAACATTCCTTTCTAACCTATACAATATAAACAACAACTATTCAAAACATTATCATCCCTGACAGAAAATGTTACATCAAATTGTTCATACATTCACTATGTCCTTTTAATGATTCTTCTTATTGATATGACCTTTATTTTTAGGATTAAAATTAAAACGAACGTATGATAATTGGAATATACGCGAACAACTATGTTTAGCATCTAGTGTGTTAAAGTCTGGTGATCAAAACTGGATGAGCGTATCACGATCCTTAAAGGCAATTGTTGAAAAGGAAACATTAAGGCCACCAGATTGGTTTTCTCAAAAGTCTTGTGCCATTCAATATGCACATTTATTGGAAAATGCGGACACACCGAAGAGGAAGAAGAGAGAAAGTGGAGAAACGACTGGTGAATCTATAGTTAGAAAACTAACACAAGAAAGAATAGCCGAATTAGGACAAATATTAGCTTTTCAAAGGGACGAATATCAACAACTGAAAAATCAACTAAACATGATAAAATCTGGGGCTATAACTGAAGATAAATTGCAAAAGATGTGGCTTGAAATTGAACAGGAAGAACGTGAACAGGAACAAAAAGCCAGAGCACATGCTGCATGGTTAGTCAAACGTCAGCAAAAGCAGGAATTAAATTCTCCACAAGGAGCATCCGCTATAAATCAACGTAAATCTACTGAAACATCAATAGAACTTCAAGAAACAACAGAAACAGTTGATGAAGAAGAAAAGAAGGGTAAAGGTGGAAGGTCACCATTATTAACAAGTCTATTGAAGTCACCAAGTCCCACTACACAAATTCAAACAACAACTACTACAGCTCAGGTGAGCTCTCCTACAATTACAAGTCTACTTGGTTCCAGTCCCAAAATTCCAAATTCTCAATTAACACAAAATGTTACTCCACAACTGCATCAGATTGTTTCTACTGCAATTACAAGTGCACCGCCAGAAAGACCATCAGTTGGTGCACCAACTCTGTCTATGTTACTTGAAATGCCCACTAATGCACAACGAGGTACTCTACCAAATTTGCAGTCAACCCCAAACATTGTACCACAACAGAGTGTGCCCACAGAAGTTCATACCTTACAGCCACAATCTGTTCATCAGATAACAATTCAGAATGATACACCGGTGGCTACTCAACCACTTACAATTAATCCACCAAATATACCAGTCACAGAAAGTATGGTACAGATAATAGATAATATAGATGATGTAATACGTAAAGATATCATGGCAGATGTAATAGACAAAGATGAAATTAATGAAATCATTGGCGATATAGAAGAGTTAATAAAAGAAGAAATAACTGGAAGTCCACAGACTCTAGATACAGCTACTACAACAATAAATACTCTTACTGTTCCCCAAATTCAAGAAGTTCCAGTAGTCACAGAACGACCAGAGCCTAGGGATGTAGATGAAGTTGTATCTCTCTCTAATTCGCCAGAAAGTGAGATGGCTATTGAAGAAATTGATTCTAGTACTTCTAATATTGCAGAAATTATAGGAACGGTTGCAATTGAGCCCCAAGAACCTAAAGTTATTGTTACAGAAATATCTGAAACTGCATCTAGTATATCTGAACAAGTAAAATCTGAAGACTCGGTAAACCATGAAAGGGTAACAGTACCTGATGAACTTATCCCTGAGTTAGAGGCTAACGATGGTGAAAATAGCAAAGATGTACCATTAGAAGAAAAACAGATAGTCGAGGAATTGGATACTATGGATTCTACTTCAAATGCAGAAGCAGAAGAAGCTGATTCTAAAATACCTATAAAAGAGCTAGATGAAATGGTAGAAGATGAAATAGAAGAAGAAGAAGAAACCGAGGTTGTTGTATCAGAGGCTAAAGAGTCACCCAGTAACAAACTGCAAGGGGAGTCTTCTGAAGAGCTGGATAATAAAGGAAACATGGAACTAGATCAACTAGAGATGCACCTTGCTAAAATTACAGGTGAACAGCAGGATGTTCCATCGGCAGAAGTAGTTAGCGTTTCTTCTGAGGTAACAAACGATCTTCCCAGTACTGAAGATACTGAAAAGTCTCAGGACATTAGTTTGATTTTAGAAGATGATGAAAGTGTACATAGTGCAGAGGATAAGAAAAAAATAACAGAAGAACAAATCATAGAAAATACTATTGAAAGTACAGAATCAGTTGAATCTTTTAAAGAGGAACCTATAATTGTAATAAAAGAAAAAACTATTATCGAGGTAAGCGAACAATCACCAGAAAAATCTCAAGAGGAACACACAGAAGAAACTCTAGAAATTTACACAGACGAATTCAAGAAGGAAGATACAAAGGATTCTTCTGAAGATACGACCAGCTCTATTTTACAAGACATAGAAATTAAGGAAGAAGAAATAGAGGAAACAGCAATTGTAGAAGATTCCACTCAACTGGTGTCTCCAGAAGAAATTGAAAGTTCAAAGCAAGAATTTGTGGAGCCTATCAAATGCGAGATTGATGTTCCTAATATTAAAAAAGAAGAAAGTACCTTTGAGGAATCTAAAGTAGAGGAAGAATCCAAAATTCGATTAGAGAATGTTACTATGTTGGAAGTAAGGAAAGAAGATATCCCTATAAAGGAAGAAAAGGAAGATAAGAAGACTATAGACGCCGAACAAAATATAAAAAAGGAAACAGAACCAATAGTAAGTGCTGGAGAAGAAACCGTTGAATTGGACGAGGAAGAATCATCGTTAAGTAAATTAAGCGGAGGACGAGCTATGAAAACTTACTCCAAAAAGCAAAATGCGTCTATCGACAGTGAGCCAGAAAATGAAGGTACCGGAGAAGGTGCAGATTACAGAGCATGGAAAAAGGCAGTTATGTTAGTTTATAATCGTCTGGCTACACATAAATATGCATCTGTATTCTTGAGGCCAATCACAGAAGATCAAGCACCTGGATATCATTCAGTTATCTTCAGGCCTATGGACTTATCAACGATTAAAAAGAACATAGACAATGGCACCATTAGGTCCACAATGCATTTTCAACGTGACGTCATGTTAATGTTTCAAAATGCCATTATGTACAATAAACACGATACCTTTATTTATAAAATGGCTGTTTCGATGCAGGAAGAATGTCTACAGCATATGCAGGTACAAATTTAAACAGGAATTTCATACATTTTATGTACATTAAAATATCATTATTAATTATACTGTTTCTGCTTTCTAGATATTGGTACAAGTTACAGGTGAGGGAACACTCAGAAGAGAAACAAGAACTGCAGCAAGCAGTAGCAGTGAGGCTAGTGAAAGTAGCATAAAGAGGAAAAGAAGTCATATTACACCAAGTCCTCACGATACAGACAGTCCACGTTCAAAGAAACGTAGAAAATCAGAAAATGATTAGGATTTCTTGTTTGTGCATACTTACATATATGTATGTATGTACATGTATATCTACATGTGATAAACATTGAAGTTTGTAAGAACTGTTTCGAAAAAAAAAGGAAAGAACAGGCAATTCTGTGTCCTGTTGGCATCAAAGGAAAATGTTGAACATGAAAGATGTTTGAAGTATACAAGAGGAAATGCAACGATTGTGCATTCGATTTTATTGCTTTCTCCCAACAGTAGAAATATAGAAAAGGAAATTTTATATTGACTGTATAGATTTATTTTAATTTCTTTTGTAACATACTGTTGTGGCATTGTGATCTTAAAGTCTAATTATTTGTAATTCATGGCTTTATAAAAAAGAAAACCTTATGGCCATATGCTTTTGTTTTGACAAAAACTACAATAAAAGCATTTTAATAACAAAAATATATTTCCATTAATTCCACCTATAAATTAAATTTTATATAGTAACTGCAACTGCATCTCTACAATAAAAAATCTACCATTCGTTCCAAATGGCTACTACAATTAGAAACTTAAAAATTTTAAAGTCCTAAGTAACATAAAAACTGAATAAGTTCATAAAACATATGCAACAAATTTGATGAAAAAAAAACGTGTTATATTTTCAAAAATTTCAATAAAACCAGCGATGGGCTATCATGCCAGCGGTGATGTTAAAAAAACGGTGTATAGTTCGGAAAACGATGAAGGTTATGAAAATCAATCATTTTATTCTGCAGTATCTTTCGGGATACTGACTCGATCGGAGATTGGAAATAACTCGTATTTTCCATGCGGAGAGAAATCTGCGGAAACAGTAAGTGATTAACGTTGTTAATAGGCGTAATATTTTCTTTCATTTAGAAAAGTACAAATCCAAGTCCTCAGAACTGATGCTGCCAGCGTCGGACGACAGCGACAAACCATTTTGGGCTGAAAATGAATTAAGTAGCTCAGAATCGAAACAACAATTGATTAAACGACAAAAACGTCGTCGCAGTTTGTCTTATCGCAATCGTATTGCTAAACACCGTTGTAGATTTGCACTCTTTCAGTCGTCCAGCTCTAGTATAGACTCAATTCCTGATCAAATATCCACGAAAGGTACTCCAATTAAATTTCTATAAATGCACGTCAACAAACGGCATAATTAGGCATGCTATTCTCCCCGGTTATTACAGTTTCTAGACAGAAAAAATATAATCGCTGCAAAGGTCGATTCGATGTGGAAAAATTGCAACCTGGATGTAACGTGACAAAGAAAAAATTCACTCGTAACATAAAAGTTCGTGTTGTGTTTGTGTTGTTCACTTAAAAAAATAATACAATTTAATTCTAGTCTGAACATTTAATAATTTTTATTCCCACACTTCGACAAAATATAAAGTAGGGTGCTTCCCATAATGTATTCGGCCCTGTTCCGTACTAATAGTTTACATTCATTTACTACTTAATGGTTGCTATAAACAGAATTTACATTAATTGACGAACGTGTATCTTTTTTATGCAGAGTAAAAATAATTAATTAAGGATACTCTAGAAATCGCTGGGAAAATCTATAATTATGAGTTATTTTATAATCAATGAGCGAGGAAAAAATCAATACGAGAATCTCGGCGAAGTTCGTACTCGTAAGTAATTATATTAATTAACGGTGAATCGCAGTGTCATTAATTTATTTTATGTGACCCGTATCGCAGCGTATAAATACGCGTGAAAGATATGTTTCAAAGAATATACTGCACATTATTATTTTCGTATTATATGTACGTCACTGGGATACGACTTACCGCCATGTTTTGCGATAAACTGCGCATGTCTGAAGATTTAAAATCTGGTTTTAAATGACACGTTTTGTTATGAAGTTGTATAACTTAAATTGAATTAATTGCATATCTTTTCTTCTTGAATTACAGACACCACGTTATGCCCTGTTTTTAGCTTACTTATACTGGGATTTTGTATGATATTTTTAATACTGTCAGCATGGAATTTGAACAGTGCGATCAACGAAACAAATACTATCCACGTGTATTACTTGAATTTAAAACGTTCACCTTTGCATATCGTGTCGAAGAGATTTTTATCTTTTGGTCTCGATACGTCTTTATTGCGTGATATGAAAAATCTTCCAATTGAAAATGAAAAATTTATTAATTTAGCGCGACACTTAGCACCCGCTTACGTTCGAGTAGGTGGTACATCTTCGGACTGCCTCTTTTTTAATCAGGTTTGTTTAATCTTTTAATGTATCCTCTTTTTAATTCAACACAAATTCCCATAATCCGTATAAATTTATAAACACAGACGATACAAATAAGTAACGAAAAACTAATTAATCCTGTGGATGGCGAAGATATAAGTAACTTTACAATCACCGACGTAGATTTTGAAAATTTATATAATTTCTCATCGAAATCAAAATTACGCATGATTTTCGACTTAAACGTATTAATTAGAGACGCTAACAATTCGTGGAATAACACTAACGCCAAGAATATAATTTCATTTGCCAAAGAGAAGCACATGAAGTTAGATTGGCAATTAGGAAATGGTAAAGTTATGCTACAATATTATATTCTATATTTTCCAGTGTATTTTATTGATATTTTATATGTAATTTCAGAACCAAATTCATTCCATCATGTGTTTGACAGAAGTGTAAATGCAACACAACTTGCAAGTGATTATTATCAATTAAGAGAGCTATTAAACCAACAAGGATACAATGATAGTATCCTTGTTGGTCCAGAAGTGAATCATATAGGAGATAAAAATCGTATGGGAGAAAATTACACAGAAACGTTTTTGAAAAATGATAAAGACAGTGTAAACTATGTTACTTGGCATCAATACTATCTTAATGGGAGAGAAGCACAAATTGCTGATTTTATTAATGTTTCCACGTTCAATTATCTGCCAATGCAAATCGAATCTGTGAACCAGGCTATCAAAGCATCTGAGAAGGATATTCTTATGTGGTTATGTATGTGATTATATAAATAGATATTGAAAATTAATGATGGAGCAAATTACAGAAGGAAACTAAGATTAAATATATGACTTACAGCGGAAACTAGTACAGCTTTTGGCGGAGGTGCACCAAAATTATCAGACAGATTTGTGGCTGGGTTTTTATGGCTTGATAAATTAGGATATAGTGCTAGTACTGGAGTAAATGTTGTCACAAGACAGTCATTATTTGGTGGTAATTATGCTATGGTAGGTCCAGATCTTAAACCAAATCCAGACTGGTGGGTTAGTGTAGTGTATAAACACTTTGTATCAGAGAAAGTTTTAAAATTAAGCTCATCCAAAAATAATAATGGTGGTGTACGATTCTATGCTCATTGCACTCCTAAAAAAGCACTAATTAACAGAGTTTCTGCAATTACGATATATGGAATCAATATAAATGAAGTTCCTATTCGATTAACCATTCATGGAATTCTTCCTATACTCCATAAAGGTGCAAAACTCTTTGTGTATGCACTTACTTCTGATAATCTGCAATCCAGGTATGCCATTTCTATTTAATTAATACGATTCAATATAAAGGATATTAAATGTCTTCTATTTCTGTTCAGAATTATAAAGATGAATGGTAAGATATTAGAATTACAACCTAATGGAAATTTACCATCATTTTGGCCTATGATATTAGAACCCACACAGGTGATTATCCTACCACCATATTCCATGGTATTCATGGTAATACACGGAGCAGAGGTTGCAGCATGTAAAACATAGGTATTATATTATAAATCAACAGAATTATACACAATTCTATATTGTACATTTTTTATATATTAAAAGTTTATAATATGGTCTCATAACATTTTTAAAATTTATTACTAAGAATGAAAGAAATTGATGAAATCAACATAGGAAATACAGAATTCAACGATTCTTTGAGACATTATGTATACATGTATGCAAGTATTTGTATGTATCTACAAATATATATATACGTTATATATGTGTATATTTGGGTAACTAATTTTTATCATCAACACGCAGCACTCTACAACACACGAAAGTTTACATACGAATTTTTGTTAGAAACTTCAAGTTCTTTCAATCAATTATCAATATATTACAAGACAGTTTTATTACTGAAAGGTACAATAATGAAATGAATTATAATTTAACCGTCTTGTTATAAACATTATGACGTAAGAGTATTATTATGCATAACAAATATACAAATACTGAAACAAATACATCATATTAGATAATTGGAATGCTTAAATTTATCTTTTCATAGTAAAACATTACATCAGATTGAAATAAGAACTGCAACTGAGCTTAAAAAAATCAATGTTTTCAGAGTAAGTCACCAATGGCTCTTATTGATTATTATATATGTATGACACATGAGCATGGAACTGACAATCTAACAATTTATTGGGCCATTACTACTTATGTTATATATTTACATAAGAACATTTGTTTTACTAACTTCAATGTAATATATCACTCTTGAGCCGAAATTGTGATTGTTTTCCCCTTAGGATCATCGAATCTATCCATAGTACGAATATCCATGATCATGGTAAGACCCCACATCATAATTATACCTAATATGGTAGTAACAAATATTCCTGTCCAAATTGGAATTGTAGTGAATCCGACGCAATCGTATGCATCGCTAAATATTGGTTCTCTAGCTTGATCTTTATCAGGAAATACTTGCACTTGTAGATCTTGAATTACTAGGGAATAATTATCTCCTTTTTCAAAGGTAACATTTCTTGAACAATGATAAGAGAATGTATTTGGAAAGACAATATCCATGTTCGTTGTTAAGCTATTATTAATACTAGTTTTTGTGTTATTCTGGTAATTAACTGTTTTAAGAGTATAATAGCCCTCAGTCTTACTTTCAAATTTAAAAGAAAGTGTAAGTTTATCTATTGGTGCTTTATGCTCATCCATTTCTGAACCTGTCCAGCTCAAGTGCAACAACAATTCATTCCCATTTTCAGTTTCAGTTGCTGTGCACTTTTTCGAAAGCACCAGAGCATTATTTTCTTCTGGAATCTGCAACATGTATTAATGTATATACATACACTATAGAGTTATATTAAATTATTCTTTAAAAATATAATATTTTTGTTTTAGAATTACCTTCATTAACAAACGTTGACTAGAATACAGAAGTACTCTATCCGATTGTACAACAAACGAATCATCGTCTTCGGCAACATCTCTTTTAACACGTTCGGACTGTCTATAACTACACAATCTTCCCGTGAGAATAGCAGTTAAGTTAGGATTAGATTCCTTCAATGTTTCATACGTCTGTGGAACAGTATCTAAATTGCTAATTGTCATAACTGACAACTGCCCCTCGGATATCGAATCTGTGTAATCAGTGTAAGTTGTATTATAAAAAGGTAAATCCTCAATAACGTTAACTGCCGTTTCGACTGCGGGAAAATAATAAACTGAATCGCCAGTGATGGTCGGTTGAAGATGCTGAAATATACAAGGTTGCCTTGTGTTGTTATTCGAATCATTCAAATTTGCAGCCATCAAAAAATTGTCAAAGACATCGAGTACACTAACCTGTTTGTGCTTCTTCAAATCCTCGACGCACAGATTCTGTTTCACGTAAAGGAGAACAGGAGGCAAGCCTTCCAGTTTCTCATGCAGGAACGACTCGAATTCTTTGCGAATTGTCTTCAAAAACGGATTTATTGAATGCCTCCCCGAATCCGAATCGGAGCCTGCACCGCCCCATATTAATACGGGCACCGCGTTATTGGCGTACAACGGTGAAATTTGAGAGACGACGGCTAATACAAAGGTAAAAATAAAACCACTACGAAACCGTGTCATGATGCTTCAGATGAAAAAGATTTTGGGCGAGTCAGAACGTCTACTGACCAAACTACAACTGAAGCAGAAGGCAGTGGAGCACCTGACTAGCCTGGAATCATATGACAGACGTCACGTGATGATTTTGTTTCCGGTTTTTAAACGAGTCTCCCATTTGAATTTAAATTCAATCTTTTTAAATTGAATAAGATAGACAATCTGCCGAAAATACCTTCATTGACGTTAAATATTTTCATTTCATGAATTTTTTCATTGCAAAACAACCATGGATACCCATAAAAGAGAAACTGTTATGTATTCGGTCGGTATTCTGTTATTATAAAAAAAAGTGTTTATACTAATTTGTTGTATTTATTTTAGCAACTTCAACCGTGGAGTACAGTGGGCGTGTTGCCATGCATGGAGCAAGTCACTGGTTCACCTGTTCCTGTCCGGGTTGGTGAATTTTATAAAACTCCAAAACCTCATCCATGGCGACCTACTATGGGATATGAAATGGTAGAAGCAGCCTCTTTGTAAGGACTTCCAGTGACTGCAAATGCTATTAACACTAGATTTACAAGTCAATTTGACTCATACTGAACTTTATAAAGATCTAAATGAACAGATATTTAGATCTTTAAGTCAATTTGACTCATACTGAACTTTATAAAGATCTAAATGAACAAATATTTAGTTTAATTAATTTTTCAAACATTGTTCAAACATTGTATTTGTAATTCAGGCCTGCACAACCTACAACGAACATGTTATCAGACACCTGTTACATGCCTGATGGAATGGCCACAGAACCATTGCGGTTCCCAAATTTGGTGACCGGTTTTGACCGAAATCCAGCGCATGCAGCTCGAGCTGCACTTTTCACCAGATATGGACCATACGAATGGGTGCAGAACCAATTGGGTCTTTACAACGAATCCAACAGTAACAGAAATTATTCTGAGAACTTACGTCAAGACACCGTTCGAATGATGCGGTAAAATCATTATAAAATTCTATCCAAGTTTCAAATGTATTTAAAGCGACGTGTTATCTATTGATGTAATTTCAGAGAGGCAGACGAGAAGGTACAGAACGGTCAAACGGAAACTGGTCGAAAGTTGGGAGAGAGAATTACAGACACAACGTTCTGGAGGAATGAAGTGGCTGCGGAACTGGAACGGTTGATAATTGCGAACACAAAGATGCAGGAATGCCGTCGTAACTTGCAAAGGGCTATAGAAAATTTAGAGGGACAATTGCACATAGCTCAGGAGTGTTTATACCATCGCGAAGCTAGGACAGGTTTTAAATGAAACAATCTTGAACTTGAACATTGTATTCCTAATACTACAAAATGTAAATAGGTTCTGACCTGGTGCATGATCAGGTTGAACATGCTCTTCTGAAAGAGGTGGAGGTGGTGAAAAATTGTCAGAATAAATTGGAAAATTTCACTGATAAATGTATCAATCAAGTACGCTTAAATGATCAAATTTGTGCTGAATTATAGATTCTAATCTGTATAAAATTCTTATGTTCAGCTTACAAATAGCAGAGCAGTACAGAATCAGTTAGAGATTGATATAAGGAACAAGGAAACTGCATTAGGGATTGACATTACTTGTCACCAAATGAATAACTTCAGTCGTGGCCTGCAATATTACAGTGGCATTGAAAAATATGATAACAGGTAATAGATATAGGTAGTAATTTACAAGAATAAGTGGTATGGATCGTGTTACACTATGCTAAACTTGATATTCAGTGTTACACAAGCAGAGTCATGGGCTGAAGCTTCGAATAACGTAGTGAAAAAGTCGCAGACTGAAAGATCGAAATCTAGTCAATTAATAAGTGACATTGAAATTGCGATAAACGCAGTTGGACATGAAATGTGGGAAGCATGGGGCTTTACGAATAATGCGTTAGCTAGGAGGGCAGTAGAAATTCTTGAAGCGAAAGAAAACTTACAAATACATTTACACAAAGTAACAGAAGACTATCAACATTCCTTGGACTTGTTTTTGGTGCTGTATATTATGCATTCTCTGTTACAGATCCAACAAGAAATATTTGAGATTGAAAAGAACTTGCAACTAATGCAGAAAGCCATTGCAGATAAGAGTTCTGCCTTGAAAGTGGCACATACCCGCCTTGAGAGCAGGATACACCGGCCTGAAGCAGAGTTATGTAAAGATTACGCCCAACTCAGGTATAAAATTGAATTTGAAACATTTATTTGATAATGCATGCTGATTATCCTTACGGTATGGTCTGGGTTCACAGAATGATCAAAGAAGTGGAGACTATAAATACAATGATAAATGAAATGAACTTGAAGTTACAAAGATTTGAAGCGCAACATCAACAATTATTACGGACTAGATCTAATCTAGAAACAGACTTGAAATCTAAAGTCGACGCACTGTTTATTGACAGAGAGAAATGCATGAGTATGAGAAGAAGCTATCCAATTGCGTCAGTTATTAAGTTTTGAGTTATTGTACATATGACATGCTTCTAATTGTAAATGTATTAATAGAAATAGAACACCCGTATCATTACATTTATTATTTTTTTTATAATAATATACATTAGACGTAAACATTTCATATAAAATGAATTTTCTTTTTAATATAAAAACAGTAAAAATATTTTTGCTCTTCTTAATCCGTATATTTCGTTAACATTAATAAAGAATTTACTGATACCCAAACCAATAACATGTAAGATTACTTTTATTAACGTAATATCTTTAGATTTATAATAATCTAATGCTGATATATATAATAGTATCACATGAATCATATATATATATATGTGTGTATATATATATACCAAGTTTTTGTACGTGTGCAGAATGAATAATTGAAATTTGAAATGTAACTGTACAACATAATGACTTCGTAAAAATATTTACAAAGATCTATCTACAGAACAACGGTCGATTCTTTTAATTTACATCTCTAATGCGTAGCAAAAATACAGCTTTCTTAGAATTAAATCCTTACTTAACGTTTAAGAACCACTATATACAAGACTTTATAACAATTCTCCATATAAAAAAAATAGTACATTACAGAAGTTATTAACGGTAGTCTTTTTCTTTTTCAATTTATATTTCTTGTCCATTTAAAAGCCGCTATTGTTTCATAGACTGTGGTTACAGCTGAATCTGTATCATACTCATCCTTCAGATAGAAAATTTTAATATTCTCTTGCGGATGGCACTCCAAAACGTTCCATTTCTCAAACAACTTTAAAGAATTCTTTATTGGATCAACACACAAGCTCTCCCCTGTATAGTGAAAAGATCAATCTTGCATGACATTCTCCAAAACCTATTACCTTCTAACTATAATTACTCACCATAATTCACTATACCCCTATCCAAGTTTGTCTTCAATTCGCTTAAGACTTCTTGAACCAAATCTCTCTCGGTGAGCGACCGTCCCACTATTTTGTTAAGCGTAAAGGCACTGAACGTGTAAGTATCAATCAACGGCCGTAACAACGTATGAAGGAACTCCATGCGTTTCACATACTCCGGTAGCAAATTCAGCTGCAACAGTATTTAAAAATTAAGATCCCCGTCAAAGCATCTTCCACTTTAAGACGTATCTTACTTTGTACTGAATATTCTTAGTTTTATTTTCTTTGATGTACTCCTCGTCTGAACTATCATCAAACGTCTGCGCGAACCTCCTGCTCCACAGCTCCTCTTCCAAGCAACATTGCTGTCAAATAATTCACACTGTTAACACACAGATCAATGAACGAACCGCATCAATGTACACTACCTCTTGCAAAGTAATGATGTCCATATGCGCGAGGTTCTCTACAGCGTCGATGACGGCGCGCTCCAGTTCCTGACACGGTTTACAGAAAATAAATTCGTATTTAAGGATATCACAGAGTTTCAGCGATCTCTGAATCAGGGGATCTTTGGATACTGTGATATTGTTCTGAGCAGTCGCTACTGGATCGTTGATCTGTGACTGCAATTCAGCATACAAAGCCGTTACTGGAAGTATGACGAAAATGTTAGCGGACTGAGTGGATCAAGAGTCAACGCGGATCCTTACCTACTATACTATCCATAACATAACACGTGAGCAGCGCATTGCTGTAGTAAGACAGCTCGATCACGTTTGGTAAAATTGATACTGGACGGATTGCGGTGATGAAGTCTGATTTGAACGGTTGGCCGTCGATCGCTTCTGTGATCTCTTGCCTTTGCTGTTGGATTAGACCTGGTCCCAGAATCTCCATCTAGAAACAGTCAAAATATATTCCTCTGCAGCAGTAAAATATTCTTTCACGTTGAAAACAAATCAAACTACTATAATTCACTCAATTAAACGATGATTACTCGCAGACATTTCTATATTATAAATACTACCCATCGCGGTGACATTCAGTCTGATGAACGTGCAGTGATAATAATCTAATTCAGTCGAATGATTTAACACTGAAACTACCGAGCACTTCAATCGACTTTTGAAAATTTTATAGAAACTCCAAGAGTGCATCTGTTCAGACTGATTTATAATTCAATTTGCTAAATGAGTTTCTTTAATAATTTCTCAGAGAAACATTTGTTGCCTTTCTAATAATTACAAAAAGACATCAGAGTCATTTGACCACTCTGGTAGTTTTAGTGTTAATATTTCCTCCATTTTGCGTATTTTGCTGTATGAAATGGCGTTCAACGTGTTCAAATAATCAATTCACTAACAGCACGGTGGATGATATCGATGCTCTCCCCGCAGAAAGCAATGTCTTTGTCTCGAAGTTCCAATTCCTGCCTCATCGAGTCGAATGCCTCGACTAATGCGTCCAAAGTACAGCCGTCCCGGAATTTATTTAGCAACAGAAACGCGACGACATTGGTGGACATGATCGGTGTTGACATAGAGCAGTCTAGAAAATATTTTACATTAGCAATGCTCGGTCAGGTCGAATTAAGATCTATGATTCGTACCATATACAACATGTCGTGCAATGCTATCTACTAATTGTCGATGCTCTTCAATGATGACGTCTGTGCCATAAAGCGACGAACTGGACATTGTGTACTTCAAGGTTTTCTCGGTTGGCGACGCTTTGTCAACGGTCAACCTATTTTGCTGGGCTTGGAAGGACTTCAACATCTCCTGTCGGTTGAATACTCAAGTTTAACAGACAAGTATATTTCATATCACAATTAAAAACTATAATTAAACAGTACCTTACCCTGAGAGAAAATGGCTGACAGAAGTCGACTTTAACGATACCATAGTTGCCCTTCAGAGTGTCCCACATGGCTTTCACGGTGGACCTGAAGGTCTCCATCTTCTTTGGCTGGCCTAGTTGTTCCCTAACGAAGTTCCCATCGACGAGACGTTCATAATTCATTGTGACAGGTACCAGCAGCGCGTCCTCAACAATACCATCCATGTATGCGTCGATGATCACGCTCAGAATGCCACCCTTCGGCATACACGGTTTGCCAGTTCTCGTTCGACCACCCTCTATAAAGAACTCTATATTGTGACCTGCCCTCAGGTTTTCCATGATGTACGTGTGAAGCGTGGCACGGTAGAGGACGTCCTTGCGCCCCAACACGGGGTCAATCCGGCGCTTGATGAAAAATGCGCCTAGACCTCGTAGGATCCACCTATTAGATCATTGAATGAATGATAATAAGAGCGAGAGCGAGATATTAGGGGCGATAACCGGAAAATCCGTGTATGTGAGAATGTGAGTGAGTGATTGGTATATTAGGAAGGAGATGCACGAGGAAAAGCGTCTTTTGTCTGTTGTCTTTTGTGAGAATTGCGAGCTGGAGTGAAGTAATAGAGAGAGTATAGAGAGAGTATTGTATTTAATTATAAGTTAAAATTAAACTTGAAATTTACTTTAAACCTTGCCCTTGATTCACTACAAATCCCACAGCTCTGAACGTACCCGAGCACTGGAATTTTCAGATTATCTCCAGCAGCGATCAGCGGACTCCTGATGTTGTTTATCAACAGAGTGAAGCTGATCATGATGTAATCTAAGTGACTGCGGTGCAGTGGAAGGAATATCAACGGCAGGCCAGTCTCGTTCGCCGTCTTCAGCATCTCTATTTGAGAAGGCAGCACTATGGCGGACTGTAAGAAGCAAGGCAGCAGTTTGTACAGCAGCCACGTGATGATTTTAAGTAAAACATTGCTCATCCCGCTCTCCATTTCGAGCAGTATCGTTTTAGCCCTGTCCTTCGCCTTGGCCAGAGCCTCTCTCTCGCTGCAGCCATCGTTGTTCACCGATTCCAACGCGGTCAGCTTAATTGCCTCTTCTAATCGTTCATCGTTCAATACCTGGAAAACGAACATTCTCTATAATCAACGGAATACGAAAAACATAGAAAAAATGTGCAATCGTGCCATACCATTTGCGTTACTTTTGCGTAATCATAGGACTGTCGACTGCAGACGTGCGAGATGCAATTAAATACTTTGGAGAGCAGAGTGGGGCCCGGGTTCACCACGAGCACGTTCAGGCCGAAGGGCATGTGCTGTTTGTTGATGCTGTGCACCAGCGAATCCTGCAATCAAACGGACACGAGGTTAATAGCAAATAAGTACCACCGTCGAGTGTTCTCTGAATTTTAGTACAACCTTGAGAAACATTAACGCGTTTCACAATGACGTTTCAACGTTTTCCAACAGACTCACTTACTGGGTATCCCCTGACTACGATGACACGCAACCACTGTGAAATAAATCCACGTGGTTCCTCGTACATTTTTCGCTTATCCGTACTGCCTAATTAACTATTTCAACCGGCGCGTGGATTGTCATTATTAATGTGACAGACGGAATTCATTGAAATGGTTAACTGTGATTGCACATTGCACTTAACGGTACGCATCGTTGTCCGTACATTAACACTGAGGAAATTGACCAATTAAGCTACGGTAAACAGTAGTGCGTTTATTATGCAGCAAAACGTGCAGGATTATGCAACGAAATTATCAGTGTCGACACGTGTATATCTGTGCCCGTGCATAATTATTACGCGATCGACAATTGCGGTCGCGTCGGCCGATCAAGAGGAATTAACAGAATCCGATGTAACAATTACGTAATTAAATAGGCGTCAGAAGAGGGCGTGGTAATTAGGTAACGAGGGGTTTGTTACGTTGCACTTGAAATTCAAAGTACACCACCGAGGGAACGGCTGTCCCAACGTGTCACGGAATCTCAATTTCCATTGTTTCGGTTTCGACACACGCACACACGGATCGCACCTTTACAGCTTGAATACATTTCAAACTGTTTTACGTACAAGCTGTTTACAATATGAATAATTAATGAATATCGTCGATGATCGGTAATCGAAGCGAGGTAACTGAACTGAATTAATCGCTCGGAATGAAATAAAACGTGTCGAGTCACTCTATAGGAACGGTACACATGTACAACCACAATATTCACAGTTTTGCGCGTACGACGGTCACAAGAGCCGTGGCTGAATATATTTTTAGTTAGCAGGAATGTGAACACACTACGTCAACGTTTTCAAATCGTCTGCGTAGTTTGAAGTTGCATTGAGGACCATTGCTCCAATGGAAACAATGATTAGATTATTGTCTCATTAGATTGGTGTTAGTACACTCTCTGCAAATCTTCATTCTTGATTGTCTATTTTCCTTTTTGCATGTCAATATTGTTGGACTATACCTGACATATACAACAGCAGCCAATTAATATTAAATAAATATTCTTCTAACGCTACAACTACTAAGTAATCAGAGCGACTTATCTCCAACGTTTCATGAAAATTAGAATACATTTCTGATCTCGAATCTTTCTATACAGATGTACAAATGCATTTCACAATCTCTTGTAAAGTACTCATGGCAATTGAAACATGTGCAAAATAAAAATTATAGGTCGATTCGAGTAGTCTAGTTCTAGCGTTTACTCATTTAGAATTTCAGCTTTAGTAAAGTCCCAGCATTTAGCCTGTGTACCATCACTCATCTTTGTTTCCAAACAATCACAATCTCCACGCGAGACTTACTCTGGAGGATGGTGTACAGTCACTACAGCAGTACCGCAAGAACGAGGGCTTCTCTTTGACCAGAGGAACCAGCGGCTCGGACTCTTTTATCTTGAACAAAGAGTTCTCCCGAATTTTCTTCGCCTGTATCCTGTCTTGTATTCTCCTCTTGTGCACCTGGTGGCTGGCTCGACGAAGATCTGAAAAGTTGACGAATAAAGTTGACTAAATCAGTGAAATTGACGATCATTAATAACGTTCTAATTATGAGTTTAATCATGACTGGAGACTACAAGGGAAACCTTACCCCCTATGGTGTACAGATTGCTGGACGGTTCCAAGTTCCTCTTCACTTCCGTTCTGCTCTCCCATTTCGCGTAGACCTCTTGAAGGCGAGTCGACAATACGTCCACCATCGTGTTCGCCCTGCGATCATATTGTAAACCATTTAACGCTAGAACCACCGAGCAACTGGAATGATTTATATAGAATTTCCTCTGAAAACTTCAGATTTAACACTAAACCTACCAGCCGGGTCAAAATGTTAAAGGGTGAAAACGCTTTTGGAAGACGTAAAATAGATTCGTATATCCGTACCGACACAAGGGATGCTTTAACACTAAACCTACCGAGCAGTTAAATTGGCTTCTTGAAATTCCTCTATAGCAACTTCAAGGGTACATCTATCGAGACTTTAATTGATTTACAATCCAGTTTGCGTACTGCTAAATCAACTTCAATAATTTCTCAGAGAAATATCTGTTACCTTTCTAATAATTGCAAAAAGAAAACATCAGAGTCATTTGACCCCTCTGGTAGTTTCAGTGTTAAGCAATCAATATATAATTCATCTTCATCTGTTGAAGGTTTTCTAGATTTCAAAGAATCTTCGTCAAAGGATTAATAAAAAGAAAAATCTACCAAATCCCCCAGAAGTGGTCGAAGTCTATGGGGAACCGCAAAAAGGCAAGCTTACGAAGAGTAACGACGCAGTGGCGGGACGATGCAGTTAAATGTCGGTGACTTCTAATTAACAATATCCCGTCACGATTGCCAATGAGCAATCGCGGATATAATGCCACGGGAATTTCACGGGTGATGCTCTCGGACGCAATCGTGCATCATTCACGCTCGATCTCCCGTGCATTTAACGGGTCGACACGGTCGAGTGCGATTCTGAGCGGAGCGGATGCGGTTTTTCTTTATTTTCGAACCTGTCCCTCCGCGTCGGACGTGTTCGAGTTCCGCGATAAGCCGACGACAGAAAATCGAAACGAAACAAGCTGAATCTCATTCCCTTCTCACGCGATCATCGGCGGACCACGGATACCGAGAAATCATTAACACGACTGACACAGAGGTCATCGCCGGAGCTTCCAAATTAGCCGAGAACGATTACGAGGATTCGCGTCGAATATAAATATTCAGTAGTGTAATGAGAATAGTGATACCGACTCATTAATCTTTAACGGATTAATTAACATATTGCTAATTTTCAGAAAACTGAAGATGGCAATTTTCACTGAGGTCAACTTGTATCATTATATATAGAAAAATTTAGATATATTATTATGTAATAAAAATACTGTGAAATCTACTCATTAATCTTCAATAGAGTAATTAACATATTGCTAACTTTCAGAAAACCGAAGATGGCAATTTTCAGTGAGGTCAACTTGTATCATTATACATAGAGAAACTTAGATATATTTTAAATGGATAATCAATTCGAATTAAATTTTATATTCTTTTCAATGCTGTAATTAGCGAAGTTGCATAGCTAAGTGTCTTTACATAACGAGATTTCTTAATGTTGTAATGTGTTAATCAGACATCTTTAACGTTCCGTGCCACAGAAGTTACACTTAACTAATGAACTGCATTAATTTTGTCTAACGAAATATTAGCTTATATTCAATTCTCTATAACATTTATATAACATTTATATATCTTCACCACGTGTCTCTTAAAAATATTTTCTTACAAAACTCGCGTATATAAGGTACACATGGTGGCCGTGTTAATTAGGATCAGTAAATCAATAAATCAAGATTTCAATGGAGTTTCCACAAAAAAAAGCCAATTCGACTGTCGACATGCTCCAAAGTTCCATCTTTGTTCTCCAAAGAATCCGAACATAGGAAGTGTCCTTGGAACACGGAGGGTTCAAAGGTGACGCCGAAAACTCAAGTGACGCATTGCAAGAGGAGAACATCGGAGATTCAACCGCGAAACCCAAAGGTCAAGAGATTAAGGGGTTCAATTGAGCCGTGAAACTGCAGCGGTGAACGCGATAACAATGTATCGGTCATTCCAAAAATAGCGACTGGCAGATTTATCGCGTCGATAATGAGTCTCGAAGATAATTACCAGCCGGAGCTTGGGTAAGGTTCGTTTCCCGAAGATTTCCGCGCCGCTTCGTTCGCTAATTCGCGTGCGTACCTTTGTTTGCCCATCGGTCACGCTGTGCGTAAAGGTAGCAATTTTCAGCTTTCTCTTGGGACAATTGCAGACTCGAGGGAAGACGGTTAACATTAGATTCGCGGACTTTATTCTATTGTTCCTAGAGAACTACGTGTTCGTTTACACGAATCGCAGAAATTGTAGCTTCAAAATCAGAGTATTGTAATGCGTATACGCATAACTGCGCGAATCAAGATCGACTTGAACTGTTACTGAATAATGTTTAAAAAATTCAATATCCGTCAAATTGACGGGTTCAGTAAACCTAGTGTCAACCCCTCGCCTTGTGATTTGTTAGAATGAAACTGGAATTTTCCCTTAGTTTCAAGAAATCATTGATAAAGTAGTCAGATCGATCACAGTTCAGAAGCTAAGAGAATTCCAATTATTCTATGTGAATTGAATATTTGTTCATCATGAATATTTTAAAATATTCTAAATCACGAGTCTGACACGTGGATTTTAAAGAGAACTGAATTATCATGGACGTTTGCTTGGTTTTGAACTCAGATTAACCCTTTGCGGACGAATGTCGACATTTCGAGATGATTCAGTTACTCGAACGGCAAGAGATCATCGCGTAATTTCCTTTTTTATATTAATTAAACATGTGATATATAATTCAGCTTTGTCTGCCGAAAGTTTTGTGTATTTCAAAGAATTCGACCGAGCTCTAAATAAAGTCTCGCGTGACGAACAATGGAGTCGTAAAGTTACGTGACGAGCGCGTAAAAGCGCGTCGAAACATTAATTCGCGAACGGAGTTGAACGACGTCGAACGCTAAGTTTAGGATTCGGTGATTTGCGTCGACGTCGACGCGAGTACTCGCGATAACGTATCCTAATCGTCTATTTATAAGCGTCTAACTGCCTAAACGGGTGAACGAAGGGTTAACACTAGAACTACCGTTCCGATTTATTTAGCAATTATTGATACCTTCGAAGCATCGAATATTCGAAATGATTTTGAAAACGAATAGTTTCATTCGAGTACTATAATGAACGTGAGGAAACTGAAAATAATCTGTTACAATTCTATAGGAATTGCATATTAACCCTTTGCACTCCAGAAGTCTTTCACCGGAAATATTCAATACTTTCTAATGAGATACAGATTGAATTAAGAAATCTCACATGCATAGAGGTAGAGAACTATTTTCTTTCAATGACTCGTACATTGATGCATTATACAAAGTTTACTATTAAATATCAAAGTTCACAGTTTTGCTGTGTCAAGTCATTCGGTGACTTAGCGGCGCCTCTGGAGAGTGCGAAGGGCTAATCGTATTAAGTGCTCGGTAGTTCTAGTGTTAAAAATGCTGCGCCACTGTTGCGCGTTCGCCGTTCGCTCGTCGTTCCCCGCGCGACGAGCGGTTCCAAGTGCGATCTCGGGCAGACCGGCGAAGTTGCCGAGCCAATACCTGCCGAGGAAAGGGACACCAGCCGGCCATACGATCTGGAGCCGGGCTAAGTGCACGCGAACGTATCGAGTATCGGTTACATAAACGAGGATTAAATGTACTCTACGCCGGAGAGGATAGAAGCGTGGGTACCGCGCGAATAATCGCCGCGTTTTAGAATAAAACTAAACCGACGAACGAGACAATGTCGCCTGATACCGGTTCCTTTAACTGCGCAGGCTCGACGCTTTCCTGTTGGGAAATATTCGGCTGGCCCGGGGCACCTTTCATTTTGTCGATGTAATTAGTGCACATTGTGTCTTGTTGCGTGATTCTGATCTATATCTTCCGAGCATACCGATCTTCCGAAAGCTATGTCTTTCTATTTCTGCCGAACGGAACGTTACGATTGGAGAGACTTGTACAGCCTAATGAAACATTCGTGACGGTACACGTTATTCTCGTGATTAGTAATTAAGTGAAGATCGAGATTGATTTAGTTTGATTTGATTTGTAAAAAGGGTTAGTATAAGAGAATACTGTACGGCACGGACGTTGTACCGACCGGAAAGCAACGGTTTTATCTGTCGCGATACGTAAACAACAATTGTTTCGTTGAAGTAAACAAAAGAGACGGGAATGAATAATAAACTGGCCAAAAGTCCAAATTGATAAGGGTACCACGCGCTTGCCAGTCGAAGCTGATCGATCCCGACAGGTTGCCGGTAGTCATCCCCAACGGAGGAGATAACGATGATAAATCGGTTAACCGATCTGTTCGACAATTGACACGTTGTTCGTTACGGTGGTCCAGATTACTTGTAGGTTACAAGAAGACTAATGTGAAACACTTAGTTACATGTAGTTAAATAACAATAACAAGAGCTGCAGATCATTGCTAATTCACTCGAAGAGTATTTTGTAACTTAGTGTTACACGAAACATTCCCGTGGTCAACGTGTTAATTATTCATTCGTTCAAACGTGTCAGTTATCATTTCGCTTCGGCTTTTCACTTGTGTACGGTGTCTAAGCGAATAGCTCGTTAGATACCTAACTGAATAGCTAATTAGACAGCCAACTGAATAGCTATCTACGCACCTAACTGAATAGCTACCTAGACATGTACCTATATATCTAACTACCTAGACATGTACCTATATATCTAACTATCTAGACATGTACCTATATATCTAACTACCTAGACATGTACCTATATATCTAACTACATTACTATCTACCAGGTGCATTTTCTCTGACAAGTATACTCGTCGCAGATCGACTTGATTCCCTACATTCCACAGTTCACCTTTAACCCTTTGCAGTCCAAAGTGTTCTTGGCTTCTCACTTTGAAGTTCACGTCGACGTTCATTCAATTGCAGCTTATATGACGCTCTACTTATTTATTCAAGAATACTTGCAAGTCATTGAAATGTTACCTTTAAATGGTACGATTGTGATACCACAAATAAATATAGAAAAAATTAAAGCAAGTAGAGCTTGCAATAAAATAGAATGTCGACTGACATAGGACTGCTAAGGATTAACGTTCGCCACGTGTGCCATTTATGGTGCGCAATTTTTATAAGGAAACATTCCACTGATTCTCCGGACTTTGTCAAACTGTGCTCATGCGAAAAGATGTCGTCTGCGAACAGACGCGAGTACTGTGATTTATGCTAATGCGGAGCCCGCGGAGTTCACTGGCAATTAGTCGGTGAAAAAAAGTCGACCGGTGACGCGTACAGCAATTATCACGGTGATTTTTTCCGGTGAAATTATCTTCGAGACGATTCCTGTCACGATTTCCAGTCGGAAAATTCTGGACGATTATGTTCCTCTTGCGAACGCGGCTACTTATCGGGGAAATGTTCTCTTCCTGGTAATATACGGCGCTTCCGGTGTCCTGTACCCCGGCGAACACTTCCGTGGATGCGACAATATTTCCGCTGCAGACTGACAGAGTAATCGTTACAACAATGCAAATGTATTCGCGAATCGAAGCAGGCAACGCGCGCAGCAATTGCATGAGATTACCTACCCGACCGAGTTCGGTTTAATATTCATGAGCGTTTAATGCTAAGCAAGACATTGTGCTTCGCTCGTAAACGGCAGATTGTGTTAGCTTCATTCATCCAGTGCTCGATCAATCAAGAAAAATCACATCGAATGCTCGTTAACTTACAAGACACTTTATCCGATTAACGTTTCTCGGGAAAAAAGGATGTTTCTTTTTTGTGTTGGTGACTGCCTTTGGCAGTACATGCGTGTTGGTGTATGGAAGTTCGGTGAATAAATGGGAATAGAGGTGTGACTCAGAGTTTGTAGTGTTTCTTAGCTGGAAGGCGAAATTAAATAAATATAGAAATATGTGAATATAGAAATATAGAAATATGTTAACATATAAACATATAAATATGTGAACATATAAACATATGAATATGTTGACATATAAACGTATAAATATGTTAACATATAAATATATAAATATTGAAGTATTGAAGTATTGAAGTATTGAGTATTGAAATATATAAATATATAAATATATAAATATTGAAATATTGAAAGATTGACATATATAAATATTGAAATACAGAAATAGTGAAGTATTGAGTATTGAAATATATAAATATTGAAATATTAAAATATTGAAAGACTGAAAGATTGAAAGATTGAAAGATTGAAAGATTAAAATATATTTATATATAAATATATAAACATATAAATATATAAATACATAAATATATAAATATTGAAATACTGAAATACAAAACGACTTGAAAAAATCCACACAAGTTCTCGCCGTCCGGCACGTCCCGCGGATCGCAGCCAATAGAATTACGGGGCACGTATTAAGAGCATCCCCGCGGCGGGCCAAAGGGTTAACCGTCCCATATAAATTATAAATAAGACCCGCCGCGCGAGTTGTGCAACTTTGTTGGCGACGATCATCGACATGAACCGCAACGCTCGAGCGAGGTGTAGTCTAATGACCCGCAGCCATCAACGACCATCAATCCCGCAGTATCATCAAACACTTCCAAAACACAACCCCCAAGAAAATCAAACGCAAATCAATCATCAACGCATCGAATCCTCAGGCTATACGTTACCTGAAGTTGAAAAAGTAGTAGAGGATCCCGAAGAATAGGAAAATCTCGACGAGGCCGTCCATTGTCAGCGCTCGGCGAGCACGCAGGAGGCAAGCGAGCACGATGAAGAAGAAATAATAATAGTAGTAGAAGAAGAGGAAGAGCGGGCTGCAAGGTGGGCACCGAGCCGAGCGACACGCGAGCTTAGTCCGTAAAAGCAGCGTCTCCGACTCAACTGCTCGCGCTCATGATTCCAATCGGCGTTTATCTCGGCTCGTGCCCGATCGCGGACGGTGACAAGCGGGTAAACTTTGATCCAACCGCCACGCTCCTCGCGAGAGAAACCACCTGGACGTGATCCATAGATCCCGGCACCGTGGAGCCGCTTTATCTCGGTGCGGGGACTGTTCCTCTTCTCGTTGTTGTTGTTGTTGGCGAACGCGTGCCTCGCGCACCGACTTTCGAACCTTCGGAACAACACGGTAACGAAACGCTGGATCCGCTCGGTCGCGGGACTATCGCCGACTTTCTACGTTACGTTAACGCGACTACCGAGCAATCAAATCGATCGGGTTGCACTTTCTTAACGCAGAACTGCCAGATAGGTTGAATCATTTATTCCTGATTGCGTTTTATGATTATTGAAGATACGGATACTTCTGTGAAAATGATTAACGGAAGTGATATAGTAATGGTAATATTGAAGTGCAGGTCAGTTCTCAAGGAACGCTTATTTCTATCGAGACAGTAAAGGTTTAAGTCGGTTCTAGCGTTAAGTGTAACGGTTCATTCGAGCTTCCGTTGAATATAGATTCAGGAATATAGATTCAACTCTATGGAAAAACGCTTAAGATTTCCGTGGCGCTCAACGTGTTCACCGGCGACAATATCCGTCGTGGACAGTTCACTGACTCGGTTCACAGTGTGTAACGTCTCTTTGCGCCATCGATGGCACGATCCTCGCGCGAAGAATTCGATTAACGACTCGATTCCTGATCTGGGACACGACGCCTCGTGTGTTCCTTTCCAAGATTCGTCGGTGTAACGTTACTTGTAACAGTTGATTAACCCTTTGACTGCGGACAGCGTCTTTAAGCGCCAATGCAATTAATTTTTCATGTAACAGTTTAAGAGTGCTGACACGCTCGCTAGCAGCGTTCATTTCGGCGACGGTCTCCTTAATTATTTTCTCCTCAATTATTTTCTTCAATCCAATAAATCTAAACAAAATAGAAAAATGAAACTGAAACGAGTCACTAAGTTCCTGCATGTAATGTAGTTTATCATTTCTAATAATATCCATAATTTCATTTTCATTGCGTAAAATATAGGATTACTATATTAATGGATTAATATCTATAATTTCATTTTCATTATGTAAAATATAGGATTAGCCGTTACAAGTATGTAACGCTGATAGTGAACGTGTTAACACGCTTTCCTCTGGCATCATACTCTTCCTGCTCAGAATTGTTTCTATAAAAATGTAATGCCCATAAATTCTGCTTTCATTAATGATAGATACAAAATTGTTTCCTTTTTAACGCATCGCAGTCAAAGGGTTAATTAAAGGGACTCTACCTCGCATTAAGTCTTGGTTAGGTTCCTCTACCGTCCTACCGGAAGTAGTATTATATCGTCCTGTACTCCTAAAAAATATATCGGTTTCGCTTTAGTTCAGAATTATTAAATCGACAATTTATAGCATTATATAATTATCAGATTATATAATAAAAATACTGTAGCGTAATATTATATAATAACCGTTTGACTAATGGATCATGGATCGTGTATACAACCGCGTGACACGATTTTTCTGTGGACCTGCAACGAATCGTGAAAAATAGATACAGTCGACAACATTGATTTGTATTCAAATTACAAATTCCTATTCGAACGTTTAAAAACCGCCGCTTTTGTGTCTGCCCTGGGTGACAAATCGAACCATTCGTTTCCGATCGGCCAATCAATGGAATCGTTGCGTCGAAATTCGTTACGGTGACCGCATGGACAAATATGCTTTTAAATGCGTGGAATTTGACCTTGTTATTCGATAACGCGCGACCACTTGCTGCAAGGATGCCAGACAGTGAAAATAAAACGATTTACAACACGAATTCGCCCGATAAGCTTCCCTCCATTAATCGAACGACTCGTTCCCTCTAACTCCGTCGTTCGGATATTCGAAAACCGTCGAAATCACGCGCCATATTTTCTTCCTTTTCTAGAGAATAATCTATGTTACCTTCGACGAAATATTTCGTATCTTCCCCCGACGTTAATTGCAAATTATCATAAATAATGCAACAATAAGGCTTTCGCATCACTCAACGGTCAACGAATAATCGAACTCGCGATCGAAACACGTGGAACGCGATATATCGTTCGCGCGATTTACATCCGAGATTAGTGAACTGTCGTTGAATATCGTCGCATTCGAAATTCAAATGTAGTCGGAACATTCATAACCGTAGAAAGTGTTTTATAAAATTAATTCGAAAAATACCTTATACCGAGCAACGATCCAGCCTCGTCGAATTTACCCGCGAAAATTCAAATCGCACCATGGGGTAGGGTCACACTTTTTGGAGGGAAGATCGACGACGAACGTTCACTTCCGGTTTCGTTACGAAGTTAGACGGTCTTACACGTAACACGCGAAAAAAGAATACGAGAACGGAACGAGTTTCAGTTTCATCGGGCAACCGACGCGATCACCGCAAAGGTCGAACCATAACTGCACCCGAGGAACCAAGGAGAACACGTGGTACGCCGGGGCAAAACAACGTCCATGGGTGTGTGTTGACTGATCAACTTGGAACTTTCCTTTCTTCCTTTTTCTTTATTTTATCGAGCGCGCGATCCCGTTCATTAACGATGCTGGGGATTACGATAAGATTCGGATCCGAATGTGGCCCGTTAGACGCGTGCCGTTAGTGTTTGGCCGCTAAAACGTGGAACGCGGTCAATGGTAGGTTCACCATTCCATATAAACAGATGGTGGCGTTACTCTCAATCGTCCAATAAGGTTCCACGAAAATATTAATTAAACCGAGGAAAAACATTCTTTCGCTTGCGTATGCATTTTCTATCGCTCGCTGCGTCACACGACGTGTACCTTGGATTTCGTGCGCCTGCGTATGTGTGTGTGTGTGTGTATTGCGTTGCAGCTACAGATTTAACGAGCACTGGATCAATCATGTCACATATTTATTTTTAATACTCCGTTTACGTTTCCTTGAAATAGATATCGGTGAAAATGTCACTGAATTATTTTTTTCTTTTTTTTTTAAATGATACGTTTCGAAGGAGCTGCGTGACGGTTCCTTATTGTTTTTCGACTTTCGAACAGCATTCTTGAGCTGCAGAATCGGTGTGACCTGATGTCTAGTTAGTCGCATGCAACTTGTAAATTAATCCTATTGAAAGCCATTAACGTTTCATGCTGTTCTTTATTGTGCGTCAATTTGCAAGACCGCATTAAGATTCTCCGGTTGTACGTATGGGAAGATTCATTGGTAGTCGGGGAACTCGCGAAAGAACGATTTCGTGTGGGACTCCACTTTCTTCTTCGCTGCTTTCACAAACAATACGAGCGCGACGGGCAGTGTTGTTTCTTTTTCGTTTTCAGTTTGAATTCTCTGTGTTTCACCGGGTATGACAGACCGTGATGAAATATATTAAATCCATGATCTAATTAGAATTTATGGAACAATGACCTTTAACCGGTATATAATTACATCACGTTTCATTACGCTCGCGAGTATTATTAATTATAAATTATTATTAGGTAATACGCGTTGAAAAAGTTATCTGTGTAAGATACAAATATATATGTATACAGGGCTATCTATGTATACCATATACGGTACTGACCGTGACAGACCGGTCACTTGTATGATAACTTTTATATCATAAAAAGATTTATAATTAATTCGCTTTTAAGGAAAACTTGGCAATTTAATAGTAGTATTTTTAGACGTTATGTTATTATATTCGATGTTAACTTACGAAGGGATTAACGTGATATAAAAAATATAACGCAATATATTTTAAGCAATGCGACATAAATTCCTATGTACGTAAAAAATTGTAGGATTTCGTTTTAAAAAATGTATGCAATCATTGAGTTATGAAATCATTATGATTATGCTAGTACTTTACAGTTTGAGCGATGTTAAAGTATATTAGTAAGAAAGTAGTCCTATGAAATTTGATTTAGTTTATATTTCTTATCAGATTGACGAGCGTGCAAAACATAACCTTCTTTCAGGCAATACGTTCTATAGAATTATGTGTGTATCATAACTTACCCTCTAATGGTTTTTCAAGATGATCTTTATGTTAACGTATGTCATCGACCATTTAAAATATATTTAACTGTTTATAGATATGTTGAAATACACTTCACACGCTACGCGCGATTTTACATGTGTTTTACCGTTCTACACGTTAACGCACTATTGCGAATTTAAAAAAAAATTGTAGATCTGCAATTCAGAATTCACTTAAAATTTATTTACCTCAGTCGAATATTGAGGTTTAGATACATAAACATATACAAACTTAGTCTTGTAGAATTAATAACATTTTTCGATATTTATTATTGAAAAATGTTCAACATGTGGTGTTTGTATACGTCGTGTAACATGGCGCGTTAATGCCAAAACACGTGCTGACAGAACGAATAGCCGTTTGTCGCGTGAGAATAAATAATAATTACTATTCAGAAATAACAGTGCTTTATTATTGTGGAAGGAAACAATTTGTGTAACGGTTGTTGAAACTACAAAAAAATGGCGGTAAGTAATATCAGTCTTAATCATTTAAAGAATAGTAATTAAACTTAACCTATTCTTTACCTTTGAGTATATATTTAAGGGAATTTCTTATGTTTTATTATTAATTTCTGTACTGATTTTCGATGACACAGAAGAAACTTAAAATTAGTGCAATTAAAAGAAGCAATCAGAAAAGGACCAAACTTATGAAACAAGGGAAACTTAGAACAAGGCGGCATAGAGCTAAGAAACAAGTTCAGAAAGTAGTGCAATCGCATCCAGAATCAGTTGAAGAAGAAGAAAGTGATCATGGGGAAGATCTATTGAATATGGTCGAAGAAGATGATTTACAGTTTCTGGAGAAAGCTATTTCTAATAAATCCTATAATTTATTGAAACATATACATTTAGATGAGTATGTCAAAATATATTTCTTGTACTTCAATACTATGATACGTTGATTTATATTTATCTCTGTTTATGCATGATATAGAACAGACAGTAGTAAAGATAAAAAAAGAAAAAGTAAGGGAACAGTAGAGGAACTATATGAAAATAATGTTTCAAAAATAATTGAAGAAAAAGGCAACAAGAAGGTTCGTCTGTTACTTCCTACAAAAACTCAAAATGGGATGATAGAGAAAAGAGTAATGGAAGTTAATGATGAAGACAATGAAAGTGGGTTTGGTGAAGAAGAAAATGAAAATGAAAATGAAAAGGAAAATGGTCATGGACATGAAAGTGAAAATGAAGATGAAGATGAAGATGAAAATGAAAATAAACAGCCAGTGTCTATGATTGAACTTTTAGCATGCCGTAAAGAAGCACTAACATCAAAACGTTTGAAGATTGGTTTACTTGCTAGCAGTCTTTTAGAAACACCAGAAAACAAGTCTGATAATTTTAAACTATTGTTAGAGTTTATGGAAGAAAGTGATCCAGAAGTATATATTTCTGTTAGGAAATTAGCTACAGTCTCTTTGTTAGAAGTTTTTAAGGACATATTGCCATCTTATCACATACTGCAAATTCAACAAGAAGGCATAAAATGTATGTAACTATAAGAACAATATTATTATTGGTGTGTAGTATAAACTGAATATTTCTTTTTCTTCTTTAGTGAAGAAAGATACATTAGCACTACAAAAGTATGAAGCTACTTTATTAAGATATTATAAACATTATTTACAAAAGTTGGAAAAGATGTCTGGAGTACTGAGAAAAAAGAAGGGAGATACACGGATAATAAAAGAACAGGAATTGGAATTAGGAAAACTTGGAATAACATGTATGTGTGATCTCTTAACAACTCATCCTTACTTTAATTATTCTGTTAATGTAGCAAACTTTTTAATACCATTCCTTGATAATAAACATGAATATGTAAGACAAGAAGTGGCCAAATGCATTTCCCAAATATTCAAAGAAGATAAACGAGCTGAATTATCCCTTACAGTAAGAAATTTACACTGGTATTATATCTTGCATGAATTACTATCTCAAAGAATTACTTATATCATTCCAATTTTTAGATAGTACGTAGACTGAATCAGTATGTAAAAGCAAAAGCTCATTCTGTTCATTCTGAAGTTATGTCTGTACTTTTATGTCTTCGTATAAAAGATATAAATTTGGATAAAGAGAAAGAAGAGGAAAGCAAACAAAAGAAACTCATGTCTCACAAGCAAAGAATTTTGGCTTTAAGTAAACGAGAAAGAAAGAAGAATAAAAAACTCGAGCAAGTAGAAAAAGAATTACTTGAAACCAAAGCAGAAGAGAACAAACAATCTAAACAGAAGCTTCTCACTGAAATCACCAGCATAGTGTTCACTATGTACTTTAGAATTTTGAAACAAGCTCCAAATAGCAAAATTTTATCTGTCTGTTTGGAAGGCCTTGCAAAGTATAGTAATTTTTATTAATATTTAATCACACACGATATTGTATCATACGATATTTAACTCTATATAATAATTATAGGTTTGCACATTGCATAAATTTAGACTTTTATCAGGATTTGGTAACTGCCATAGATAAGTTGATGGATGAAGGAAATTTGAGACTAAGAGATCAATTGCATTGCATTCAATGTGTATTCACGATATTATCAGGTCAAGGGTTATCATTAAACATTGATCCTTACAGGTGTGTGTGTGTGTGTGTGTTGAAAAAAGCGATTTATGTTTTAATCAAGAAAAGTCAATGTACAATTTTATTCTGCAGGTTTTATGTGCATCTATATAAAAATTTAATAAGTATCCACTGTGGCAAGACTCACCCAGAGTCCGAGATTCTCATTAAAATTTTAGTACAAGTTCTAATTCACAGAAGAAAAAGAATTACGCCAAATCGTTTGATAGCATTTCTCAAAAGAATGGCTGTTATGACTTTACAATCTCAGCATAATACAGCACTCAGTATTCTCGGTGTAGTGAAACAAAGTATGCAACTTGGAAAAACAGCAAACGTTTTACTGGATACAGATTGCAGTACCGGAGATGGCTTCTATCAGCCAGAATTAGAAGAACCTGAATGTTGTAATGCGCATTGTACCGCATTATGGGAACTTGCAGCTTTGCAAGTATGTCTCTATATAAATTATTAAATATTATTAATTATCATCATAAATTCTACCGAATACTTATGTTTTTATTGTTTTAACGCTAGCGGCATTATCATAGTGCTGTACAAAAAATAGCAAAAAACATAGCTTGGAGTGTACCACCAACCGGAGAAGGTAGTTTGCCCGTTGAAATTGCAAAATTGTAAGTGAGATATTTGGTTTATATTAAGTGGCATATTTCAACACGCAATGCAAGTTGTTTAATTTATTATAGAACACCGGAAGAACTGTACAGCGAATATGATCCTACTGGTGTCGTATTCAAACCAGCTGTACCAGCTCCCAAAAAGACAACTACCAAGAAGATAATAACGCATCACTTCGTTAATAACAAATTCAGGGATTATGTTAATAGTATAAATAACATCGAATTATTTGCAGATGGATACGTAGATTTTTATAATGAGTATAGCAGTTAACATTACATGTAACGCAAATTACAAGAAAGAAATGAGTAGTGTATTCATTTAAACTTCACATACTTTGTTGTAAATAATTATTACAGTCCTCGATGCCTTGTACACAATCTACTCCAAAGTAAATAAATTAAAGAGCATAATTTTATCACAACTAGAAAATTTGTCAATGAAACGAGTGTGCAACAATAATTACGTTTCGCATATTCATAAATCATTGCCATGTATTTACAATGTACATATTTTTTCTTATCACAATCAGTAGAATACGAGATTGAATTAAGATAATTGAACACATGTTGAATGATACTTCCTTACTCGCCTTCTAAAACTTCAGCAACTTAATAAGATAAGTTTGTAATAAATAACTTGTACTCAACTAAAAGCTTTAATTCTTATTCGAAGATTATCAGTCTACATATATTCATTTTAAATTTCATTCGAAGAAAAAAGAACGAAAATCGCTTGCAACTTTCTGTGAAGTGTATACTATAAAAAAATGTAGTATCTCAATATTGACATAACAAAATATTCCGTATGATATTTCTTTGCAAAGATAACTAATTACTGACTAATAATTTTGTTTCTGTGAAATGCATTCTATATAGTATCTGTGAAAACTCACAGAACAGATCTATACATGTCACTCCTTTTGTACAAAGTAGCATTGCATTTTCATTACTCTTACACTATAATGAGGAACAATATATAATTAATTACTATTAAAGCTGTTTAACCAGTGTCATTTACATAATCATCCTATTCCCTTATATGGGATTAGGCATTTTACATTTTGATAATCCATCAACAATTTTAGTGTTCTCTGAATAAGTCTCTTCATCTATCTTTGTTTCACACGAAGTTTGTTTTACATTATCATATTTTGTTGGTGATGATAAGTCAATTTTCTGTACAGGTATATATTTACGTTCTATGATATTCATTTTTATTGCATCCTCTATTTCTAATGTTTCATCTATAAACTTCTCTTCGCTTCTGATTAATTTCTTTGATGTGATTTGTGCAGTTTTATCAAGGCTCAAAAGTTTAGGTGCATTAATCTTGTCAATTGTCTTTGTAACAATTACCTGTTCATTTTTATCATTTTGATGAGGTGGCTGTGAATTTCTTTTAGCAAGTATTATTTTAGTGTATTTGATAGTGGGTTGGTTTGTACGTGTCTGTATGGGGATTGTAGTTTTAGTTTTAGATATTGTAGGATTTTGAGGTCGCGTTTGTAATATAACGTGATTTAGATTTTGAACACCTACATTAGGACATATAATAGTCTGAGTGGAGGGTGCAAGAAATTTGTTAGTTGCCTGTTGCAGTTTATCTTGCTTGTTACTTATGAGAACGACTTTAGTATTACTGTTTAATTTGGATGTACCTTTCTCATGGACATCTATGGGTACAGATGCTTGCGACAAAGACGAATTTTTTTCAATGGAATTTAAATTGTCATCATCTTTCGCAAATATGATTGGTATGTCCAATATATTACCTAAATCGTCATCGATATCATTTGAGAGGCAATTCTTTTGTATAGCCTGAGGTTTCGCTTTGTGAATTCTTTGTAAATTGGATGTGTTCACTGTGATTTTTGGCATTGTTTTTGTAGATCGTTGTGTAGCTTTTAATTTGTTAGATAGTGGCAAAATAGTTCCTGAACTATGATTATTCAATGGCACTATCACTGACGAACAAGTAGGTTTAGCATTAAGAGAACTTTCAACCATAATTATATTCCCACATGATGTATTATGAGAGTTATCGTTGTTGTTACAGGTTGTTACTTGTCGAGGTAATTGTGACATCTTGAACGTATCCAATGAATGAGTAGAACTGAGCATCGCATGTGAAGAGTTACTGGTCGTTGCCATGTCGTCCATCACTATAAAATACGTAGGTATGTTTCAACAAGTTCTTAAAATATAAGCCATTAAATATTTCTCTGATTCAATATGAACACCATTCTAGGATATAAGTATGTTCAGAAATTATGGAGAACTCATTATTGTAACATAAATCATGCAAAATTCTACAAATATAATCAGAAGAAGTTGATAACAATGCACTTAATGTTTGCTTGAAATGTTATACAAGTGCTATTGAATTTTTAAATAAAATGTGTATACTGTATAGAACATTCTTTTTTCAATAAGAGTGATGCTGTACAAACTAAGTGAAAATTTATACAAACTGTTAATACAAATAGGATCAGGGTCAGGAAACAAATAAATTCAAATTACATGAAAAAATATTTATTTAATACAAAATAAAAGGTAGCACTAATATATTTACAAGATATTACTTTAAATATTTTTGAATATATAAACTTATATTAATTGTAAAATAATATAAATACATGCTATATTTTATAATAAATATATATGTATATGTATTTATAATCCCCTTATTACTTTTATGTAGCAAGAATAATTTACAAGGATTATTTTATTCTATATATACAAAACCAAATGCAATAACAATAAATAAGAATACAAATAGAAATAAAATATAGCCTGTTTTACCAATCATTCTACAGAAACACATTTCAAATAAGGAAATAAAAGCTACCAAAAGTTTAAACCACAATCTATGAACATAATAGAACAAAAAATTAAAACAGTTGTTCCAAGACTCCTGTACCAATGGTGTTCATGCATAATGTGTTTAGCTTTTTCATACACTAATTTGATAAGGAGTCACTTTAAATTAGTAAAATAAGTTGTAAAAAATCACAAATCAAAAAATATTTTAATACAGCAAAGAAATTGTTTAAAAAATAGTAATATACCAGAACAAAAATTCTAAACTATATACTGTATTCTATAAATTTCAGTATGTATATTGGACAGATGACATGAAAGCTTCATTCCAGTGCTCTTAGTTCTTAAAGCATTACATATTAATACTGAGAATGGTCAGAATATTTTTGAATCTTGAGACAAGTTCTATTAAAAATAATTAATTTTATTATTCATATTTTTTTGTCAAGTAATATCCGTACATTTCTTTCAAATTGCATTTTTATTTTGTGAAT